AAAAAAAAAAAAAAAAAAAAAAAAGGGAAAAAATGTGAAATAAATCAACATCAAAACAGCTAAAAAGAAATGGCACTTTGAAAAAGGTAGCAAAGTCATTCTCTCACATACTCCCTATGACGCACGAGATAACCTCAGTTTCATATTAACAATTAGTTTTAGAGATCGAATATCAAGAATAATAAAAAATGCTAAAATAATAACATTCCTTCACGTGTCTTCGATTAAAATACAAATTCCTATGAAATAAAAAGAACTGTGCAGAGGCATCGGCTGAGAAAAATAACCAAATTCCTGATAAAATATTTATAATAGTGGGTAACAGTTGTCCGATACTCATTCAAAATATTGCCATAAAGGGCAGAATTATTGACAACCCGTATTTATAAACACTCGCAACAATTGAAGTGCATAATAGGCCCAGCAGCTTGTTCAATACTATGCTTGGATGAATTTGATAAATGGCCATTTTTGTTTGCTGTGCTATTGTATACTCCTTAGTGACTTTTCTTTTAATGTTCACACAATCCAGAAAAGACTTCCATTTTTCCCCCAGCTTGGTCATATTAGTGCCGCGTCTGTGTATAACCAGTGAGTATATTTCTTAACCCATACTCCAGGCCCTGGGAGATCATATTCATGGCCCGAAGCGAGGATAACAATGGCTTATTGTGCAGTTTTTCTGTGTGAGACTGTTATTTCATTAAATCTCTTAACTTTAACATAATACCCCGCACTAAGGTAATGCAAATAACTGTTGATAACCAACGGCCTTACAGACCCTTACAACCCAACATGGTTCAACCAGACTAACACAACAGACCAAGTTACACAACTGTTGCTTTGAGAGTGAAAGGAAATATTATTCTTTGGCGGCAAAGTAGAGAATTTGGACTCTAAGACTTTATTTTTGCGAGAGAGGGTGCTGTGATGCTGACAATGTGCCTGGGTCAAGTAAAGTGTTGTGTTACAGCCATTGATACTCCACTCACAGTACACTACAGCACAGGTGCATGGAGGCATGGGGGCAAGAGACGGCAGACGACTTTATGAATTCTTGTTGACAACAACATACAATTGAAGAAAATTTGATGGAGATTTGAAAGGAAATGTTGGAACTTTCAAGCTGTAATCGGAGTAATAGGAAGATATTAATCATCTAGTAGCTGGACTGAACAAGACGTGTTCATTCTTCTTGGCTATAGTTCAAGCTGCATGGCTGTAGAGTGTATTACCATTAATTTTCAGCTCAAGCAAGAAGCAGTCACAACTGACTAAAGGAATTAGTTGACTGGGATTAATTTCTTTTAGATCCATGAGCGTAAATCAAAAAGGAGAAAAACACAGCTTGTAAATAAGTAAATTGACACATGTACTATTCAAATGGGAAAACAACAAGAGACATATATTTTGAAGGAATTTTATAACTCTTTAGAAATGTAGAACATTTGAAAGCAAGGGAGTACACAAAACACAGGACAGATATTTTTCTCACTGGAAAAGTAACCTACAATAGCAATCCAGGATCAGATATCCAAGTTTAATTTATTAATGAACATTATATTCAGCCATAGTAACCACCTTCGACAGCATTAGTCTGTATATATACAAGTACGAGAATAGCTGGTAACAATAGCTTTCAATTCATACTGGCAATCTTTCTATCGACCTTCAACAGCAGAATTTCCTTGATTGTTATTCCTAGGAATCACACAGGAAGCACTGGGTTGCATTAATTCATAGAATTGACCTGGAGAATGAATTTGAATTCATTTCAGGCTGAGATAAAAGCAGGTATAGATTTCCAACCAAATGTGGACTTAACATTCAAATTATCACAGCAACTCTAGAAAACCAGGAGGATTTTGAGTTTGACTGTACTCCGTCTGTATAGAGAAAAATCTCATTTCTCAGTGGACAAGTGGAAATTTAATGTTCTGTTCATGTCTTAACTCACGTGCTGTGTCAACATTCACCTCCGCCAGGTAATTAATATCATTAATTAATTCTTCTGAAGAAGTTGATTATATGTGCACAAGGACACCAAATTGCTTCACGAGTAATGCAGTATATACTTCAGTGTGATAATTAAGGACTGAAATATTGTGTCAACTTCTTGGTGACAACATGTACTGAACTTCATTATCATTGGATTTTGGGAGGACCAAGATTCCAACGGAGTGATAACGTCCTCACTACACAGGTATCACTTGCTGTCACTTTCGTCAGACAAGGATTAAGTCAACAAATTGTGTTTACCAACATCAGAAGTAGATATTCTGATACACAGTAAATGAAAAAGGCAAGGTAATTTGACCCGCAAGGACTGTGAGGAACAGTAACAAAGCCTATAGGAATTATTGGCTGAAATTTACATGTTTGTTGAACACAAGATAGTGAGAAATTGATCTTTACAGTATACAGACCATATATCATACATTGATATCATAACTGATATCGTCTGCATTATAAGCAAGGCAAAGAGGTAAATGGCAATTAATTGGACACACACATACCCAGAATACTGACAATTAATATAAGTGGGGATTTTAATGACACAGAAGATGCTAAGACTTTAATACAGTAAGCATCTGTTTCAAGCATTTGCAAAAATTATATATATATTTTTTTTAACCTGAGGCCTACATTTAAGTACACAGAGATAGATAGGACACTCAAAGATACAGCATTTGTGACTTCTTTATCCTGCTGACATTGTTGGTCAAAGTTTAAGTGAACCCACCTGACACAAACTGGTGTAACCCAAAACCACACCAACACTTTGGAGAGGTAGAATTTGGCAACGAGAGGAATTTCAAGTTCATTGGGTGCAGACTGGAAATGTTTTCAGCGTTTATTGATGCTGACTGCCAACAGAGAAATATTAGTACATGACACTTGATAGATACAGTTTGGAGGACAACATATTTTTGCTCAGTGGGAAGGATCTACTAGAGATTACAGTTTTATATAATTTTTTTTCTAGGCAAAGAAAAGTGGAGAAGAGTTTATTATTTTATCATAACTATCCAAGTGAGAAAAGAGGATTTCAGAGTCAAACTTTGTGAGTAATTTTCTTTTTCAGTCAGCTAGAGGACATTTTCTAGTTTTTTTTTCTCCATGAATGTGGTACATTAATTGCTTTCAATATTTACATATTTCATCGAAAAACAAATTGCTAAAGGATATGACTCCTACTATCTCTGCCACACAACTACAGCAATGAAGTCAAACATGACATTAACTGAGACAAAAATGGATTTATACAATATACGGAGGAGTTACACTACACTAGATCAGCCTACGGGATCTGGCTTCTCGGCTCAAGCTCAGGTTTCCCGTCCCCTCACCAGAGGGAGCCATCGTCACCATGATCACTATAGCAACAATCACCATGGAAATGGTCACCAGAGACAGGTTTGTAATGGACTAGGATTTTGATTTTCTGTAGGAAGCTTTGTATCTGATGCTACTACTTCTGTTTTCAATATTTTTCCATATTCAGGTGTGTTCAGATGTATTTTCCCCCACCTTTTTCAGCCATAATGTATAAAAGCACATGATATTTAACAAATATTATGTAATGAGGGAAGGGGCTATCTGTTCAGGAAAAAGCTGCATTGTTTCCTGTGCTTATGACTGATCATGCAGCTAGGCTGCTGACATGGTTATAAAGAAAAATTTGTGGGACAAACCTCCCCCACCAACAGCACACACACACACACACACACACACACACGCACACGTGCACACAGCTCCTAAGTGGTTGTGTTTAGGTATAAACTGGTATGCAGTCTCTCTGTCAGTTTGTCTGTCCTTATGTGTGTCTGCTCCTTTGTTTGCTTGTCACCTTAACTAATATATTACACTTTTCCTATTACAGGTAGACAACCAGACGGCCCATCTGACGGAGAGTCTGATGATCCGTCCACTCACAGTGTCCAATATGAGTGTGGACCAACTCCCGTCCAGGACTTCCCACTCAGCTGGTCTTGCAGTGGAGGTAATATTAACAAGGCTTTCATATTGAAAAAATATTGCATTTTTAATAAATTAGGTTGAAATTTCATTAAATGATTTCCAAGCAGTGGATCTTGCTGAAGCATAAAGAAGTTCAAATATTTTAATTTATTTTTATCTTAACATGGCATATTTAAAACACATGATATGTGCTGTTTTTTTTTCTTTCTGTTTTGTTTTGTTTTGTCACAAAATTACCTTAATTTTGAACACAACCCCCCCCCCCCACCCCACACACATGCCATTTTATTCCACTTCAAATTTTAATTTGAACACTACAAGAATGATGATTTTATAAGTCTGACATCAATAAATCTACATCTAGTTAGATAAAACTGTGAACACTGGATGAAAGTCACAAAAGCATGAAGATATATGCAAACATATTCACAATGATGACAAACCATTTCATTATTCAGATTGTCTTGGATATTTTACCAGTATACTAATGCCATGTACTCCTGATGCCTAAAATGTGAATTAGACCTTGATTTGGCAAAATAATATGTTTTCCTCGAAATTCCAGCAATTTTTTATTTAACATCTATCAGTGGGAATATCACATTTAACACCATTGAAAAAATTAATTATGATCAGAAAACCTGTTTTCTAGTTCTAATTTTCTATTCATACCACCATGTGTGAAATTTACCAGTCTTCTGATCAGCCATCTTTATCACCATTACGAGAGTGATACAGAAACTTTAAGCTTGGTTCTGGATATGGCATACCATGGTTATTGTGGAAAAAAGATTTAAAATTTCCAGGAAAATTAAGATATGACTGTATAAAATTCTGTGCCTTTAAGGAGGGTAGGGAATACCTTTTGTGTTCCGCGTGATTGGCCTTATTTTTTGAGTGTGATGCGTTATTTGAGCCCAATATTCTGCATGAAATGTGGTTCAGGAATTCTTGGTGATCAATTGGTAATTGACCTAAATATGTCTTTGTTATTGGTGATTGAGCTGTTTTAATTTTTGGTGATTAAGGGGGGGGGGTATTCCCTACCCTCTTTAAGAGAATTTTTTTTCTCTGTCAGCGTTCGCAAACGAACATGTACATACCTGGCAAGGGCCGTCCAGAGAGACAACCAGAAAAGATGGCTGTGATGCCCAACAGGGAGGAGGCACCGGTTTCCAAGGCAACGGTGCCTAAGAAAGGATTGATAAAGCTCACAGCACTCCAGTTTGAGCAAGACGATCCCAACTACTTTGACAGAAGTAAAGGTTTGTATGAATAAATGAAAAATAAATAAATAAACAAAAAAAACAAACAAACAAAAAAAAAACGAATAAATATATACAGCTTTTAATTGATTTGACAGGATGTTTCGATAAGAAAAATGACATTAGTATATCGTAACTGTTATTATTTGGAATTATTAGAATCTATTGCACATTATCACGTGCACCATATAGCAGTTTTATTTTGCTTCAACGAATTATGGCATTTTTTTAAATCTTTTTTTTAAATAAATTGGGCATGCATATTGTTCAAAAATAATTATGTCAGCAATTAATAATATTGATCGTACATTCTAAAGACCATAAATCAGCCAGTATTTTCATTTGATAATACTTTTTAAATTTACAGAACAAAGAGAAAAGAATAAATGGAAAACCAAGCCATTGCCAATGAACCACAAGAAACTAATAGACAAGCAGAGAAAATTGGGAACCGGCGGCCATGACAGGTGGCAATCTGCCGAACCTGCTGACACCTGGGCCGATCTTGTTCCAGAAGAATATACTGTTGGTGACTTGCAGAAGAAGATATTACAGTTTGCTGTAAGTACATTTATAGACTCAAAATTGGGCCCGAGATTCATTTATTAAAGGTACTAGTATGTGTTATGCTCATTAGACCAATTACAATTGCAAACCCAGAAAATTAGTGGCTCTACCTTCATAACCAAGGTTGACAAAACTATGATCTGTAAATCCATTTATTTTTGCGTTATAAGTTTCTCATTTTTACTGCTACAAATGATGTTCAATAGTCTCTGTGTCTATAATAAGAGTTGCAATGTATTCAAATACTTGTCTTGTTACCCAAAGGACATGTAGAACATTTGGATATTATACCTTGGTAATTAAGGGAAAATTTTTGCTATATATCAAGAACTAATTGTGATAGGCATTGTTTGACTTAAAAATTGACTTTTCTTGACTTTGTGGGTTTTCATACCTGCACACAACTCTAAAGTAACAATTGACATTTTCATGAGCCAAATCAAAAATCAAATAACATATAATGTGTCAAAAGTATTAAATAAAATGTTTATTTTTGAAATTATAAACAAGGGTAAGTGAAAAACCTTCATAATTGCAGGACTTTGCTGGTGCTGATCGCAATCCTTATCTCCGCTTAAATGCCCGCCAGCCAGCTAATCAACAGCAGGGACCACACATTGTACCCCAGGGTGCACCAGCCATGAGCTATGACATGGATGTGGAGTCTGTGACATCAGAAGTAACCATGGCAACCACAGACATGGCAGCTATTCCAAGTAAAAAAGTCGCAGTGGTTCCTCGAAATGTGCTTCCCACTCTCCCGCCCTCAGAGAAAAGGCGCAAACCAGACTCTCGTTATCCTGCTTTGCGGTCTTGATGGCGGGAAAATGAAAAACCTGCGATATATTTCATCACATAATCAAATAATTTATACATGAAATACAGTATTTATTGGGGGAATTACTGCATAATTATTTGACAGAATCAAAAATGTGAGAGATGCTTCAGTGTCTTATAAAATGAGGCTGCTAGTATGAAAAATAAAAATCAGCTGCACACTTCAGATTCAGTATAAATGTGCTTGGACGTACATGCTGAGACATAGCTGATTATTTCAGGGTGATGAATATCTTCCTTTTATTTAAAATTCTTCCCTTTAGGTCACTCCTGAATTTAACAGCAGTTTATAGTTTCCTGTCACTTGTCATTAGAACCTGTACGATTTATGGCCCATGTTCATAAACGTGCCACACTCTTACCAACGATTTGCACAACAAACCCCACCAGAAAATTACTTTTCAAATACAATTTGAGACCACCAAATTCTTAAATCTGTCCTACATTTTTACTGAAGTCAAAAAGTTTGAAGTCTTAAATTTTGTTTCCATCAGTCAAGGAATAAAGTCATACCTGTACAGTATATAAAAGACCCACCAATATGAAATATTTTTAACAAGGGATTTTTTTTAATATTCCAACAATATTTTCATTTTGAACTTTATGAAAGTGTTCACTTCACTGCAAGTGCTTTTTCAGTGTGAATTGATCACCTGTGTGGCTTACGAGTGCTCTTCAATTAAGATATGAATTGATATAATTTCTCTGAGTGAATGGATTTTAATAATATGCTGTTGTGCTAATTAATTACCATATTTAAAAACTGTGGGTATAAGATGCATTCAAGTGTAATTTTTATACCATAAGGGTAGCTCAGAAAGGATTTGATTAGTTAAATTAGTGAAACAAACTTTACTAAGCTAATCTTACACTGGAGAATATTGATATAAAGACCAAAGACTCTTAATCTCTTAAATGTTCATTCCCAGAAAACATGGCACAATTTGTGCATTGCCCAGCTGCAATTTATGCTTAAATCAAAATGTCAGATGAAAGGTAGATCAAAATTATTGTCAGAACATATTGGTACAGAAGAAGAATCTAAATGTCTCACTTTTACTTATATTTGACCTTTTCAAAATTTATCATTTTTCAAAAACCTCAAAACAACATATTATTTTCAGGATGGGAGGACACTTGAATGTTCAGTTAAAATTTACATTGTACAAATTTATCGTAAGAGCATTTTTAAAAGAGAAAGCACTCACAAACCCCTCATAATTGCTCACACAAAGGCTCAATACCATTAAATTGTTTTACTCCATGTTGTGTGGATATTTCATCAAACATCCAGATTTGAAATCTTATGACCAGTGCTGTGGACTAGGTTTCTGTTTACACCAGGCATTGGGATCACAAAAAAAAATGCCTAGGTATATAGGGAAAAATTAGATATTATGGAGGTAGGCAATGTTTTACCAGTACAGTATTGCATTTGAAATTATTCAAATCCGTCCGTTTTACACAACTTAATCGTGCCAAGAAATAATGAAAAGATGTTGATGTCATATCTTTAATTTGTAAAAATTGTCTTTTAAATATGCTAGTTAGTAATGTGGCAAACCTGAGTCTGCTTAAATTTATCCTGCAAGTGTGAAATATATAAGTGTCTGAAAACAGATACTTTAAATTCTTGATTATACTTGCATAATATATGTATCATCAGTTTTAAGATGGTTATAAGACCTTCTCATTTTTCATCTCTACAAATCATTAGTAAGACACCATGAACTTTTTGCTCACTCTGTTGTTTCACAACCTCTCTTTCACAGGTGTGCATGAAGTTTTGATGTTAGTCACTTTACTTTGATCATCACAAGTAATGTTATATCCTTGTTATTTGTTACAATCCCACTGACATAAAATGTCAATAAAATACTGCTTAATAAAGATTGTCTTTTTGTCTAGTAGTCTTCTTAAAATATTAAAATATTTGCAATAACAAGACCTTGATTTTGCCAAATTCAGTTTTTTTTTCAGAATCATCATGAACAGTTCAATTTCAGAAAAAAATTAAAATCAAATCGAAAGCTCTTTTGAAAAAAATCTTATGGCCACGTTGGACCACTAAATTCTTATCCACTTACCGAATAATCTACTTGTCCAAAGAAAAATGTGCTTTTCAACCAGAGTTAACTTATCAAAACTCACATTTCTAAACATTTCTGACAAAACACTCAAAGGGCAAAAATTATCACTTTATTTTGTCCAAATTTTATGAGTAACTTCCATAATATGAGACATACCCTACTTTCATTCTACGACAAATATGCAACAGAGAAAATCCTCTCTAAAAGCCATGTTTTATAATCCATTCTGATGGCTAATTGAATTGCATATTGTTTGACAAATGTTTTTCAATTATCACTTTTACCTTTCCTTTGTAAATGCATTACCATTCAGATTGAAAACCGGAGACTAAAAAACAAGGCAACCCATGTTATTTGGTAAAGATTATGGCACCCATATTTTGGTGCACGATATTCCAATATAACTAATTCTGATATTAGCATATTTTACCAAAACAAAAATTTTTAATTGTATTAAAACACACCATGATATCAAAGTTTTAAATTCTTTGGATCGTTATTAGGATTCTGCTAGTTTAAAAAGGAATTTCATTTAGTAACACTCACCTTCCACTGTAGGGATACATACTATAGCTAGGCCCTGTACATTTTTTTCATTAATAATCCAACTAATACAAAGTAGTTATAAGTATATTATAATTATGTAGGTAATATAATACCAAATAATCACAAAAATTGCACAGGTTAAACCATATTGTGCTTAAAAGCAACAACTGCAAATAAAAGTTAAAAAATGTTTTTTGTCTTCATAACAGCAGCATTAATCCTATAATTTGGAATTTTTTGAAAACAGGAAAATATGAACCCATTAACTAAAAAAAAAAAAAAAAAAGAAGAAAAAAAAAGGGGGGGGGGGTTTGTTTCAATGCCCCAGCACTTACATATGTGAATATGTTATCATCATTTTTTTGCTGAAGATAACTCAATGTTTACACATAAAATTAACTTAAGTTGACCATCCAAGAAATGACTATAAAAAATTTCATTGGCGCATTTTGTAGGCATTACTTTTGAAAGTTTTCAATCACAGTTTTCATGATATGTCAGAGAAAATAAGGCTTTCATTGGTTTATAACCAGTCTCCTCGTAAAAACATAAATAAGAAAAATATATAGACCATAACTTTAAATATCACGCATCAGAATTATGTCCATCAGCTTTGCTGGAAGCCCCAAATTCTGTTGTAGTTTTTTGGCACCACATATCACATTGCCTGCATGGCTTTGCAGACCAAGTCTTAGCGACCTTCGGGCACAGTCCGACAAACTTGGCATGCAACTGTATTGACCAATCAAATCCTTTATAACAGAATCTGAACTTGGGTCATCGCCAGGGCGCCTTCCGTCGCCAACAGCCTCCACTCCCTCGTCAAACTGCTGGCTGACGGACGGTCTACAACCAGCCGCCAGTAGCAAAGCCATCAATTCCAAAAGATCCTTATTGGAGTTGTTCTGCTTCAGAACCCGATACAGCACCCAAAACAGATTGTCTTCTGGACATACTGCGTCCGCCTCTATCAACATCCTTGTGATCTTCAGATAGGTGGCAAACTTCTGACTGGTAATATTTGCAACTCGCAGCATGGCGGACTCCAGCGGAATGGGGTACCTTTGCATTATATCTTCAATTTGAATTTTGGTTCTGGTGTTCACTTTTGCCCCTCCATTAAGCAGTATCTCTACAAGTTCAACGTGGCCTTTTTGTGTGGCAAGAAGTAATGGTGAGACATGACTTTTAGTTTGCAGGTCACAATCACATCCGCGTTCTATGAGCAGTTCAACAAGTCCACGATGGCGAGCAAGGACTGCCAAGTAAAGCGCTGTTCGACCTCTTCCATCCTGCCAGTCAATATTGGCTCCATGATCCAAGAGAAGCCCAACTAGGTATTCATTCCCATAGCTGGCAGCACTGTGCAAGGGGAGCCTACCCTGCAAATCAGGCACATTTACGCAGCATTTCTTCTTTATAAGCAACACTGCAGCCTCAACCTTATGATTAATAATAGCCTTATGAAGAGGTGTCCTTTTCCAAACATCCTGTAAATTTATGTCAATCTTACAACTCAACAAAGCTTCCACGGACTTCACTGTACCCTGGGCTGCAGCAAAGTGTAAAGGAGTCATCTGGCTGACATCTTGGGTGTTGGGGTTGGCGCCATTTTCGATGAGGAGTTGCACACATTCCCACCACCCCTTCTCAGCGGCCAAATGTAAAGCCGTCGAACCATATTTGTCCACCTATTTTACAACAAATGCAGGGATGTAACACAAAGAAAATATAATCTTCATTGTTGGAAGTATAACATTGCTATTGGTTAGCAATTTTTGGCTGGTATGTTTTAGAACTGTAGAATATTAAGGTTTCATCTTATTTGCATAACACACTGAGAGGAATGTGAAGCACAAATTAAAACAATTTCATTGTCTAAATGCATACCCTGCACCTCACATTGTTATTATCATCATTTATAATTATTACTTTTGTTATTATTATTATAATCATTAAGAATTCCAGTAAAAAGTTACATAACTATTATCCCATACATAGACCTCTAACTAGACATGGACTCTGGCGGTCATATTATATGTACCTTTTGGTTGATGTCCAGTAGTGGATTGAGGAGGGTGTTCCTGACTGTTGGCAGATGACCGGTGGACACTGCATGGTACATGATATTGGCCAGACTGGCCTTCATCAGCTTCTGCTGGTGCCTGCTCCGAGTGTTGCCCATCCTTGTCAGCCAGGGTCTGGAATTATGAATGAAAAAAAAAAAAAGAATCTTAAAACAGAAACAACTTTTTGTAAGTCTAATTCTGGACTGATTGCTGTGATCAGGCCTTGTAAATGGATCTTTTAGCACTAACACCCATATTAACCACATAACCCACAAATTAACCAGCACTACCAGAGCGGATCATGAACGTTAGTGCTAGGTATCGCTTTGTTGGTGCTAAATATTTTAATGGCGTGTCAGTTAATTCATTGGTTTTGTGATTAATATTGGCGTTAGTGATAAAAGATCTGTGGGTAATGTTAGTAAACGCCTAATCCATTTATAAAGCCTGGTGATGGTCCGTTTTCCATCCCTCATGCCCCCTCTCCTGGATCCTGATATTCTACAGCTACTACTACCATGGAGATCCAATGTTTATTGCATTTTTTATGTTTGAATAAGGAAAAATTAAGCTTAATATATGTGTAATTCTAAATCCCTTCTGATAACTGTTTAACCAGTGAGAGATCTACTAAAATCAAACAAAAAATCCTTATAACAGTGTATGTTTAATCAAAAAAGTATAAATGTCAAATAATTTTTTCTTAAGTTAGAATTTACAAATATTTACCTGTAACATTCTATTCTTTACTCCTTCACAGTGCTTTATTACAGCAGGCAGTACAGAATCAAGGCTTGCTTCATTATGAAAACTTCAGGCAGCACTCAGAGGCAGAGATTTTCAATATATATTATAGCTCACACCAAATTTCTGTTATGTAGCTGAAATTATAAAATATCAACATGTTATCAATGATGTGTTGTCAGGTAAACTCCAGAGAGATTTTGTGGGATTTGCAGGACAGCCACCCTGAGCTTCAGAGATAACTTGCCACAAACCTCTTCACTATAGCCTATCTTCATCGTGTCAAGTTACCTCTGACCACATTCGATAGCCCCCGCCAATCAAATTTAAAGCCCGCACTCAATGACNAAAAAAAAGGGGGGGGGGGATTAGTTTCAATGCCCCAGCACTTAGATATGTTAATATGTTATCATCATTTTTTTGCTGAAGATAACTTTATGTTTACACATAAAATTAACTTAGGCTGACCATCCAAGAAATGACTATAAAAAAAATCATTGGCGCATTTTGTAGGCATTACTTTTGAAAGTTTTCAATCACAGTTTTCATGATATGTCAGAGAAAATAAGGCTTTCATTGGTTTATAACCAGTCTCCTTGTAAAAACATAAATAATAAAAATATATAGACCACAACTTTAAATATCACGCATCAGAATTATGTCCATCAGCTTTGCTGGAAGCGCCAAATTCTGTTGTAGTTTTTTGGCACCACATATCACATTGCCTGCATGACTTTGCAAACCAAGTCTTAGCGACCTTCGGGCACAGTCGGACAAACTTGGCATGCAACTGTATTGACCAATCAAATCCTTTATAACAGAATCTGAATTAGGGTCATCGCCAGGGCGCCTTCCGTCGCCAACAGCCTCCACTCCCGCGTCAAACTGCTGGCTGACAGACGGCCTACAACCTGCTGCCAGTAGTAAAGCCATCAATTCCAAAAGATCCTTATTGGAGTTGTTCTGCTTCAGAACCCGATACAGCACCCAAAACAGATTGTCTTCTGGACATACTGCGTCCGCCTCTATCAACATTCTTGTTATCTTCAGATAGGTGGCAAACTTCTGACTGGTAATATTTGCAACTCGCAGCATGGCAGACTCCAGCGGAATGGGGTACCTTTGCATTATATCTACAATTTGAATTTTGGTTCTGGTATTCACTTTTGCCCCTCCATTAAGCAGTATCTCTACGAGTTCAACATGGCCTTTTTGTGTGGCAAGAAGCAATGGTGAGACATGACTTTTAGTTTGCAGGTCACAATCACATCCCCATTCTATCAGCAGTTCAACTAGTCCTTGATGGCGAGCAAGGACTGCCAAGTAAAGGGCTGTTCGACCTCTTCCATCCTGCCAGTCAATATTGGCTCCATGATCCAAGAGAAGCCTAACTAGGTATTCATTCCCATAGCTGGCAGCACTGTGCAAGGGGAGCCTACCCTGCAAATCAGGCACATTTACGCAGCATTTCTTCTTTATAAGCAACACTGCAGCCTCGACCTTATGGTTAATAATAGCCTTATGAAGAGGTGTCCTTTTCCAAACATCCTGCAAATTTATGTCAATCTTACAACTCAACAAAGCTTCCACAGACTTCACTGTACCCTGGGCTGCAGCAAAGTGTAAAGGAGTCATCTGGCTGACATCTTGGGTGTTGGGGTTGGCGCCATTTTCGATGAGGAGTTGCACACATTCCCACCATCCCTTCTCAGCAGCCAAATGTAAAGCTGTCGAACCATATTTGTCCACCTATTTCACAAAACAATGCGATGTAACACAAAGAAAATATAATATTCATTGTTGAAAGTATAACATTGCCATTGGTTAGCAATTTTTGGCTGGTATGTTTTAGAACTGTAGAATATTAAGGTTTCATCTTATTTGCATAACACACTGAGAGGAATGTGGAGCACAAATTAAAACATACCCTGCACCTCACATTATTATTATCATCATTTATAATTATTACTATTGTTATTATTATTATAATCATTAAGAATTCCAGTAAAAAGTTACAGAACTATAATCCCATACATAGACCTCTAACTTGACAGGAACTCTGGCAGTCATATTACATGTACCTTCTGATTAATGTCCAGTAGTGGATTGAGGAGGGTGTTTCTGACTGTTGGCAGATGACCGGTGGACACTGCATGGTACATGATATTGGCCAGACTGGCCTTCATCAGCTTCTGCTGGTGTCTGCTCCGAGAGTTGCCCATCCTTGTCAACCAGGGTCTGGAATTATGAATGAAAAAAAAAAAAAAAAAGAATCTTAAAACAGAAACAACTTTTTGTAAGTCTAATTCTGGACTGATTGCTGTGATCAGGCCTTGTAAACGGATCTTTTAGCACTAACACCCATATTAACCACATAACCCACAAATTAACCAGCACTACCAGAGCGGATCATGAACGTTAGTGCTAGGTATCGCTTTGTTGGTGCTAAATATTTTAATGGCGTGTCAGTTAATTCATGGGTTTTGTGATTAATATTGGCGTTAGTGATAAAAGATCTGTGGGTAATGTTAGTAAACGCCTAATCCATTTATAAAGCCTGGTGATGGTCCGTTTTCCATCCCTCATGCCCCCTCTCCTGGATCCTGATATTCTACAGCTACTACTATCATGGAGATCCAATGTTTATTGCATTTTTTATGTTTGAATAAGGAAAAATTAAGCTTAATATATGTGTAATTCTAAATTACTTCTGATAACTGTTTAACCAGTGAGAGATCTACTAAAATCAAACAAAAAATCCTTATAACAGTGTATGTTTAATCAAAAAAGTATAAACGTCAAATAATTTTTTCTTAAGTTAGAATTTACAAATATTTACCTGTAACATTCTATTCTTTACTCCTTCACAGTGCTTTATTACAGCAGGCATGCAGAATCAAGGCTTGCTCCATTATGAAAACTTCAGGCAGCACTCAGAGGCAGAGATTTTCAGTATATATTACAGCTCACACCAAATTTCTGTTATGTAGCTGAAATTATAAAATATCAACATGTTATCAATGATGTGTTGTCAGGTAAACTCCAGAGAGATTTTGTGGGATTTGCAGGACAGCAGACTCAGAAGTAATAGGTGGTGTGGTGAGGTGTAGCAACCTATGAAAGACAAAAGATTTTATCAATGTATATTTTTCTGATTGTTTTTTTCTTTAACTTAAAAGTTTTGTAGATTCAACAGTTCAAGCTCATCATGTTTTGTACACATATATGCACACACATGCATACATGCACACACACACACACATCCTATTCTCAAAGGAACTCAGTCAATATCAGAATATACAATGACAACTCAGGAGCCAAGGCAGTTTTTACTTTGCGTCAAATATGCTGGTTTAACACTTGTTTGATGTTGCCATTATCAAAAATGTTAGAGGCTGAATTTATCAAACAAAACAAATGATCTGACATGCACAAAACATTCTTTGCAGATGAAATGATCAAACAACTCAAATTTGTTGTCACAAAAAAGAAAAAAGGCTCCAAATTCAATACCCTGTGTCTCACATTTGCCATTGGCACTGGTTGCCATATATATATATATTCAAATTTATCCTATCCAAGATTTTCCCACTAATTTGTGTTTTTCCTTGAAAATTTTTTCTCTTGCTCCTGAATCATTAATATGCCAGATCCTGCACTTGGATTCAATGTATTATACCAATTTAAAGCGATAATAACTCTTCGTTTCAGCCAAAAAATGAATTTTCCTGGAGTAAACAACAATTTTCCCATACTAACCAATGATTAATGAATCCATTTTTACATTCAAAGTTAGTCCCTGGTTTTTTTCTAAAAAGTTTGGTTTTTTGTTAAAATCTCTTAAGAGATTTTAACAGAGTATAGCCATCAATGGAGGTCACGTGGTCTTAAGACAAGCTCAGATATCAGAATAATAGCTATAACTGCCTTTTTTGTGGTAAAACAGAATATATTATATTTCTATGAGTTATTCACAATGTTTTTATTGTGAAATATAGATCTCATACAAAGAGTTATTATCCCTTTAATTAATGATTAAATATTTAAGCTCTAAATGGCAGGCCATCCACTTAGTCAATTTAAATTTCCACCCTACATGCCTGTTATAAATGTTATAAATGTGCCTGGTTTAAAAATTTAGCTAGCAGCCATGTGGAAATCAGGGTAAATTCTTCTCTGTACACCAGGTCCCAAATATGGGATTTCCTACAGAGGGCGCTGTTCCAAGACAGAAAAAAAAAAAAAACTACAGTAATAGCTCAATACATTTGAACAACCACAATGAATAATTAACCTTCTCTACACAAAATTCACTTTCTTTTTCATACTTTATTTAATGATTTATAAGTTCTTTAAAGTTGAGTAATTCATGTCAGTAAATTTTTGGGTGTCTAAAAATGAAAAATCTTGGTGAAGTATACCTGCAAAAAAATCACAAAAAGTGATGCATTGGAAAATTTATAAAGATTACCACATGGAAATAATTGCTTTATAAGTGAACCTGGACACAAATTTTCATCAGTCTGAGAAGTCAAATTGGAGAGGAGACACACGTACAGCAAAGTCATGAAGATGATGAAGTTCTGTTTTGTTTTAGTATTTCTACTGTTTACTATCCCCCAAGGTGAGCTTTCAGAGAAAACAACTCATTTAAAACCAAAATGATGTATATTCACCAATCTAGGTAGATTTACTTAAAATGTAGAATTTAATTTTTAGGTTTTTTAATGCATTTTTTTTTTGTACAATTTTAAAAGACATGAACAGAAATGGAGAAGACTATTTAAAAGATCTTGAAAATGCAAATATCAAGGGTGTGAAGCTCTATGGCTGTATTCCCAGAGCTTTTAGATCGATCTATCCCCGTGCAGAGTCTCACTAGATTACTGTCAGATAATCCGGTTTAAATGTCCGTCCCGCCTACTACAAGCTGTAAGGGGGTAATTAACTTTTGTGTCCGCTCGGCTGACACCTATTTAGCGTGAACCCCCAGGGAGTTAGGTCGATCTAAAGTAGATCGATCTATTCTCTGGAAATGGGGTCTATGTTGGGGGGGGGGGGCAGGGGTGGACATAGGGTAGAAAAAATCTATACCCAAATATCCAAATTTTAAGATAATCTGCAAGACTCTCATCTCTAGTAGGGGGCGGGGATTCAGGTTTTGAGCCATTCACCCTTTCAACTTGGAAAAAAGTCAACTCTGGGTAAAATGTGAACTAGTTACACAAAGATTTCATGGTAAAAAGGTCCACTTTTTCAGAAAAAGAACCCCTCCTTTGAAATTGCTGGCTATGGGCCTGATATTTTTTCATAACAAGCAAGTTTGGTTTGCAATTTAAAATTTATATTCAGCTGACACCAAAGTACTTACATATTTGTACTAGGACCACCTTAACTATATATTCATTACTGGTAAGTCAATAGTGATTTACTCAGTATTTTGTGGGTTTTCCACAAGCATATTCTGCTGCAATCTTTACGAAAATTTTGGCTAAAAAATACATGCACTATTATCTATTTTTAAAAGCACATTGAATAAAAATAATGTTTTCCACTCTTCTCTTCTTTAGAAGCCCTGTCACAGACTAATCTCTGCCAAAAAGATGCAGATTGTGTTGCCAATAACTACTGTCGTGGCTGCCTGCCCACAGTGAACCCAACTTGTGTCTTAGAGACCAAAGGACGGTGCACTTGTCCCTATTGTGGTCCATACTAGAGCAGGTAAGTTTTTAATTTTAGTATTCATTTAGTATTCATTTTCTTTCGATGCTTTAAAATCACTCAATCTGTTATGACAAAAATTAGGCAGCAAAGCTTGCAAAAGTACAGACAGTACATATTACCAAAGCATTTATTCTGCAATGATCCATCAAAATTGACAGCAAAGCTTGCAAATGTACAGAGAGCACATAACACCTCCACATTTATTCTTCAATGATCCGTCCAAAGGACACATCATCTCTTTGTTTACAAATGTCCCATATTTCATACATAATATCAATCTTTTTTCTCAATTTCAGATAAAACCTGTGCAACATATGAATTCCAACAGCAAGAGATGCTTTACTTTTTAATGTGGACTTCTTTGCTCTGAAAGCAAATTTAGAAATTATTGTTGAATAACTTGGAAGTTAACCCAATAAAATATCTATAAACAACACATATTTTTTTTTTTATCAGGAGTGCCATGCAACCTCTTTATTTATAAAAAGCAAAGTAATCATAATAAAATTAACAATAATAATAATAATAATCAGGATTTATTGGACCACTTAAAATCTATACAAAAGAGAGACCATTACAGGATTAAGCAGTCTTCCTTTCATGTAGGATCCACCATATAATTATTTGATCCTTGAACCAGTTGATACTTGGGTCTTCTATTCTAAATGGCTCCTAAGAGACTTGCATTACATAATTTAGATGTGCTATACTCAGCACCTTGGTGTGAAATGGCTTCCGCTGACAAATACAAATGTAAGTCTGGCAAGGAACACATATATTTATTACATATATTTGTTACATATAATCCCAAAAGGGTTAGATACATTACTGGCACAATAAATTTTAATTACTTCTAGCGGACACTGTAGTCAGAGTGCAGAAAAATATCCATTGCGAGCAATATACCTTTCCAGTTACTGCAACATTTCTGATTCTTAGAGTGGGATCAGCTTCCAAACATAGACTCAATCAGTTCATGTCAGTGCGGTGAGTGTGCTAGAGGCGACTTATCATATTTTAATTTGTTTAACAATTGCATTGTTTGTCTCAGTATTCAGCCTCACTATGCAGGTAAGGTCTGATCCCACACACCCTGTGTTTTTGTCAAGATGTGGATATTTATAGCCAAGAGAGTTTGAAACACAGGGTGGAATGAGCCAGAAAGTACCTACAGGCCCATAGCCTGCAATTTCAAATAAGGGGTTCTTTTCTGAAACAGTGGACCTTTTACCATAAAACCTTCATGTGCCCAGATCAAATATTACCCAGAGGGGACATTTTCCAGAGCATTTTTTCCGCTGATTGGATATCTTATTATATGATTGAAAAGACTCGTGTTTGCTCTTTTTGAAACTAAACATAGCAGTTAATTTTCTGTGTTTTTAATTTGATTTATTTCATTTCATGTCCCGGTAATTTTGTACATGTACCTCTTGCACATGCTCGGCTGTCACCTTGATTGGATAGTAAACGGTTGTCGTAAAATCGCTAAATGATATTAAAACCCGGTGCATAAACTTGAAACCACCAAGGACAACCTTGGACTGCCACATTAATCCAATACAATGCAAAAATAAACCAGAACAAGTGGTTAAAGCCTTCAAACCGAATGTCGTAAAGTCCCCATATACCTCCATAGAGACAATAAAATAGAGTCAGCTTGTGAAACATAACTCAACCAACTTAAACATAATAATCGAAATAAAATACTGCCGGGCATCGGAGCGGCCTAAAACTTGGCACGCTTACGGCAAATACTGCAGGCTACATCATCCCTTCGCTCGTTTGTAAATTCCGTGCATGGCATACGCACAATCAAACCGTAAAGCCAAATTCCACCTCTGATGTTTATTTTGGTCCACTCTAACCTCCAATTAAGAAAAAGAAGCCATGCCATTGGACAATACGACCTCTGCGGTTACGTCACTTCCTGATTTGAATAGTGTAGAGGACCAAAGTTGGTTGAGTTTTGTTTCACAAGCTGACTCTATTTTATTGTCTCTATGGAGGTATATGGGGACTTTACGACATTCGGTTTGAAGGCTTTAACCACTTGTTCTAGTTTATTTTTGCATTGTATTGGATTAATGTGGCAGTCCAAGGTTGTCCTTGGTGGTTTCAAGTTTATGCACAGGGTTTTAATATCATTTAGCGATTTTACGACAACCGTTTACTATCCAATCAAGGTGACAGCCGAGCGTGCTCTTGCAGCTAAAGTAACTTGAGATTAACTTTTGAACCTTACACTAAATGCGTATTGCTTTGCATTTCACATCAAATCCCATAGTTCTTACCTTTTTGGCCCAATACTAGTACATGTTCAACGGCTATGCCGCTTTCATTTTGGTAAAGATATCTGACAGATGAAAATTTGTCACTTTCAAAATTATGCTCTGTTTACAATTCCATTTCCGATGCTGGTGATAGAAAGTACCTAGCCACGATAATGTCGTTATATAGGACAGGTGCCTTTTTCTAGCACTGACCAGTACATGATACATAAAAAACTTTAAATGATATCAATGTTATATTATCAACGGAAATGATATTTTGGAGAATACCTGTCGCTTATAGCATTTGATTTTCTTGAACGGCATACTGTCAGTGGATACGTTACTTCACAACTGCGCAAACTCAGCGGAAGTCAGCTGGGCACGTTTTGTAAGTGGCTTGTCGTAGATTTGCCACAACTGAAGTGTTTTTTCTTTTCGATAACTCCAGAACCGCTCAGAAGCGTTTTCACACAATGACGATCTTCAGACTTGCCGGGCCTTTTGGGCGGAGGGCATTTTTAAGTCAACTAAAGGCACGGAAGGTGAGTACGAATCGGCTGCTTAGCTGCTTATGGCTCCGTAACCCGAAAGCATAGCGAATTTCGAATAGCGATATCACCTTTTATTTCGAGGCTACTATATGGGGCGAGTAAATCCTGAGTTACGGAAAAGAGGCGCTTGCGCTCGGTGGCAATTCGCGATGGTTTTGAGTTACGGAGCCTAGGTTCCACGCTTGGGAAGTCGTCTTAGAGGCCATTAAGAATGAGAAAAGCCGAGTGCTAGCTTGGACACGACCGAAATATGGCGGACTGACTTCTGCTGAGTTTGCGCAGTTGTCACCCCTTAATCCTGTAATGGGTTCCCCGCCTCTCACACGCCTCCTCACGCATCACCCCTGCAGGGGCACAGTAATTAAATCTCGTGTCAATTCAAGTGGTTGAGGCACGAAGCGTGGGGATCTGTGTGAGAGGCGGAGAGACCATTACAGGATAAAGTGGTCAGGGTTCTGCCGAGGCCGCGATTCTGCGAGATTCTCGCCAAAAAAATAAAATTCTCGCACAAAAATTACCAAAGATGCGAAAATTCTCGCATACAAACCGAGTGAGGGTGCTATCATTGTTCTTGAGATGATAAAAGACACATTGAGAGTGGCGTCTAAAATTGTTTATCTAAATAATCATCACCGGTATAAATTTCTTCGCATCGTCCGCTGCATTGACTTGTTAACACAGTGTAGCTAACGTCGTCATGTGTGTGTTTCCGATGTACCCTCGTAAGAGATCGTTTCAAGCAGCGTCGTCATTTGTTGTCGTAATATCAATAGTACCTCTTCATGACTACAGTCCAATCGGCAATCCTCGTGTGACTCCGCTGCACTAAAGTTAGTTGAGCGATTGAGCGGTTCTCTCATTTCGCGGGATAGTCAACCAAATNTTGTTTCAGATTCCTGTGGCTTCCTATGCAAAAACTGCTGGCAGTGATGAATTGGTAATTATAAGTAAATGCTTTGAGTGTATTCATTTTTGTTTTGTATTACATATAAATTGGTTTGGACAAGACTTATGTTGCACTAGACCTTTATACCTATATTTCTTAATTGTGTATTATATGTACATTGTGTGTCTGTGTGGGGAAGGGGGGGGGGGAGTGCCCTCCACTTTCTGAAATTATTATTAATGAGATACCAGTTGAAATTAGGATTTTCAAAAGTTTGTTGTTTTACAGAAATCACAGGAAGTCAAGCTGCTTCGAAACATAGGGGTCTCTGCACATATCGACTCTGGCAAGACAACGCTGACTGAAAGGATATTATTCTACACAGGAAGAGTGGAGGAAATGCACGAGGTAATGCAGTCTGCTTCGTAATTGGCCTTGTAAACAGCTACTGACCTATGTCTATGTAATGTCCGCATTAAAAAAAAAAAGATGAATTTTTCATAAAATAGATACATACAATAGGACTTGCAAGGAAAAAGAAAATAAGTAAGGGGCTGAATAAGATTAGAAAGAGAAAATATAGGCAATCTGGCATGGTAGTTTTAGGAGTTGTTATTTGCTTTGGTCACTTTTCTCAGGGGTATTTGCCATCCTCAGTTGCTCTGTATCTAGACCTACAAAGCAGTAAATGCCAAAATTTTTAAACAATATTTCTTTTCAGTTCATTTATATATTTATTGGTTTTAAATTAAGTACTAGTATGAACTAAAAGTTCAGGTGTGACATTTTTAATAATAATTATTGATTAATTCTTCACCATTTGTAAGCATACATAATTTTTATTTCGGGAGATATTTTAAGTTGTACTGCCTACTTAACATTTTATGGATTTAAGACTCTTTATGAATTGGAAAATAGGTTGGTAAATAGATTGTTCTACTGTCATTGTTATCCTTGTATAGGTTAAAGGAAAAGATAAAGTTGGTGCAACAATGGACTTTATGGAGCTAGAGAGACAAAGAGGCATCACAATCCAGTCTGCTGCTACTTATACACACTGGAAGGGGCATAATATTAATATTATTGATACTCCAGGTACTTTCTCTCTCTCTCTCTCTCTCTCTCTCTCTCTTTCTCTCTCTCTCCCTTAACGGCTCTCATTAAAGAGATACTTATGATTAGTTATTTGTTTTAAATTAGAATAATACACTTACAGAATTGTGTATTAACCCCACTGTATAATAGATATATTACAGGCCACAAACTTAAAGTTACTTAAACATTATAAAAATGAAGATCTCTCATATTTATCACAATGTCGGTATATTACAGGTCATATAGACTTTACAGTAGAAGTGGAGCGTGCTCTCCGCGTCCTAGATGGCGCCATATTAGTCGTCTGTGCTGTGGGCGGAGTCCAGTGTCAGACAATGACAGTGGACAGACAGATGAAGCGTTACAAGGTTCCGTGTGTGACTTTTTTGAACAAAATGGACCGATTGGGGGCAGATCACTACAGTGCTTTAACACAAATGAGGTACTTTTTTACTTCATTTAAAAAAATTTTTTTTTTCTTTCAGTAAATGGGATCATGTGTTGGGGTTTAAGTTGTGTTTTTCATTTGCCCCTCAGTTTGGTTTTAATTTTAAGACCCAGTTGGTCTACTTCTGTTCGAGGTGATTTTACAGTAGTCCACTTAAAAAATTTCAAAGTAGGTATTGGTTAAAAACATCACTTTCTTGTTATAAACACAATTGCAGTATTTCATTTACTGGATGTAACACTTCAAATTGGTTCAAAATTTAATTTTTTGTCAACAAAATGTCCTGGCTAGTTTTTAGACTAAAGTCTTAATGTGAAATGAGTCTTTATTTAAAACATATTGGCGAAGTACTATTATTTTTTTTTATTTTATTTTTATTATGTCGTCTTTTTCTTCAATCTTCAGAAAACGGCTGGAGCATAACTGTGCATTTGTCACGTTACCAGTAGGCAGAGAGTCCCAACACAGTGGGGTCATTGACCTCATAGAAGAGAAAATGTTGACTTTTAATGAGCCATTTGGGTAGGTGGTGATTAGGCGCTCTTTACACTAGACGGCCTCCTTTCTGCTTCCTGCAGTATGACCCCCTGTTTGAGAATTAAAAAAGCAATACTTTATGTGCCGCCAACTGGCCAGTCATTGAGCATTTACTGTGCATCCAAAGCGGTGCTTTTGCCTCTCTTCTATGACCAAAGCAATGCCAGAAAGTACGCTGTCCAGTGTAAAGGGGATTTAGAGAAAGATATCATTCTTTTTTTCTTGCTTTCAAACTTAGAAGAAGAAGGGTTTTTTCTTGTCATTTGATGTAATTTTTGTTAAAGGGTAAAAACTTGAAAATTTTGTCACTTGAAAATTAGTTAATATTTTTAAATGCATGAATCTGACACGACCATATTGAGTGATAAAGAGGCCCATTTTAAGGATCGACAAAATTTTCAAAGTGAAAAAAAGTATCAGCAGTGAATCTGCTTCCAACAAAATTTTCAAGACTGTACTGAGGTGATTTCTTTGTCTACTAAAACCAGGTCATCTTTATATTTTCTAAAGTATTTTTATTGTATTGGAGTGCTATCCAGTAAGCAGTTTTTTTTTNTGGTGGTCTTCCTTTCATGAAGGTCCACCATATTTAGGTCGTGGCCAAGCTAGCACTCGGCTCTTCTTATTCTGAATGGCCTCTTAAGCGGTAGATGAAGCTACAAACTATATTAAATGGCTCTTGTGATGCTAGACTAGACTACAAGATTTCTGCATTTAAGTAGTAATGAATACTTTTGTCATTTGATGTGTCTTGTAAGATGATATGATGTTTCCATCTTTAATTGTTTCAGATCCGTGTGGCTTCCTATGCAAAAGCTGCTGGCAGTGATGAACTGGTAAGTATAAGTAAATGATAACATGCTTTGAGTGTATTCATTTTTATTTGGTATTACATATAAATTGGTTTGGACAAGACTTGTTTTGTACAAGACCTTAAATGATCTATATTTCTTAATTGTGTATTATATGTACATTGTGTGCCTGTGTGTGGAAAGGGGGTGAGCATCCTTCACTTTCTGAAATTATTATAAATGAGATACCAGTTGAAATGAGGAATTTCAAAAGTTTGTTGTTTTATAGAAATCACAGGAAGTCAAGCTGCTTCGAAACATAGGGGTCTCTGCACATATCGACTCTGGCAAGACAACACTGACTGAAAGGATATTATTCTACACAGGAAGAGTGGAGGAAATGCACGAGGTAATGCAGTCTATCTGAAAGATGATTCGTAAGGGGCCTTTTAAACAGCTACTGATCTAAGTCTATGAAAATAATGGGACACTGTCCGCATGTAAAAAGAAAAGATGAATTTTGGTAAAATAGATGCATACATTAGTACTCGCAAGGAAAAAGAAAATAAATAAAGGGCTGAATAAGATTAGAAAGAGAATATATATGCAATCTGGCATGATAGTTTTAGGAGTTGTTATTTGCTTTGGTCACTTTTCTCAGGGGGATTTGCCATCCTCAGTTGCTCTATATCTAGACGCACAAAGCAGTAAATGCCAAAATTTTTTAACAATATTTCTTTTTAGTTCATTTATATGTTTATTGGTTTTAAAATAAGTATGAACTTTAAGTTCAGGTGTGACATTTTTAATAATAATGAATAATTCTTCACCATTTGTAAGCATACATAATTTTCATTTCAGGAGATATTTTAAGTTGTACTGCCTACTAAACATTTTATGGATTTATGACTCTTTATGAATAGGAAAATAGATTGGTAAATAGATTATTCCTACTGCCATTATTATCCTTGTATAGGTTAAAGGAAAAGATAAAGTTGGTGCAACAATGGACTTCATGGAGCTAGAGAGACAAAGAGGCATCACTATCCAGTCTGCTGCTACTTATACACACTGGAAAGGACATAATATTAATATTATTGATACTCCAGGTACTTTCTCTCTCTCTCTCTCTCTCTCTCTCTCTCTCTCTCTCTCTCTCTCTCAACAACTCTCATTAAAGAGATAGTTATGATTAGGTATTTATTTTCAATTAGAATAATACACTTAAGGAATTGTGTATTAACCCCACTGTATGATAGGTATATTACAGGCCACAAACTTAAAGTTAGCATTATAACAATGTAGCTCTTTCATATTAGTCACAATGTCGGTATATTACAGGTCATATAGACTTTACAGTAGAAGTGGAGCGTGCTCTCCGCGTCCTAGATGGCGCCATATTAGTCGTCTGTGCTGTGGGCGGAGTCCAGTGTCAGACGATGACAGTGGACAGACAGATGAGGCGTTACAAGGTTCCGTGTGTGACTTTTTTGAACAAAATGGATCGATTGGGGGCGGATCACTACAGTGCTTTAACACAAATGAGGTACTGTTTAACTTGATTTTTCTTCTTTTTTTTTTCTTTTTCTTTTTTTTTTTTTTTTTTTCAGAAAATGGGATCTTGTGCTGGGGTTAAAGTTTTTTTTTCATTTGCCCCTCAATTTGGTTTTAATTTTCAGACCCAGTTGGTCTACTTCTGTTCGAGGTGCTTTTATAGTAGTCCACTTAAAAAAAATTTAAAGTTGGTATTGGTTAAAAACGTCACTTTCTTGTTATGAACACCGTTGCAGTGTTTCATTTACTGGATGTAACACTTCAAATTGGTTCAAAATTTAATTTTTTGTCAACAAAATGTCCTGGCTAATTTTTAGACTTAATGTGAAATGAGTCTTTATTTAAAACATATTGGCGAAGTATTATTATTATTATTATTTTTTTTTTTATTATGTCTTCTTTTTCTTCAATCTTCAGAAAACGGCTGGAGCATAACTGTGCGTTTGTCACGTTACCAGTAGGCAGAGAGTCCCAACACAGTGGGGTCATTGACCTCATAGAAGAGAAAATGTTGACTTTTAATGAGCCATTTGGGTAGGTGGTGATTAGGCCCTCTTTACACTAGATGGCCTCCTTTCTGCTTCCTGCAGTATGACCCCCTGTTTGAGAATTAAAAAAGCAATACTTTATGTGCCGCCAACTGGCCAGTCATTGAGCATTTACTGTGCATCCAAAGCGGTGCTTTTGCCTCTCTTCTATGACCAAAGCAATGCCAGAAAGTCCGCTGTCCAGTGTAAAGGGGATTTAGAGAAAGATATCATTCTTTTTTTCTTGCTTTCAAACATAGAAGAAGAAGGGTTTTTTCTTGTCATTTGATGTAATTTTTGGTAAAGGGTAAAAACTTGAAAATTTTGTCACTTGAAAATTAGTTAATATTTTTAAATGCATGAATCTGACACGACCATATTGAGTGATAAAGAGGCCCATTTTAAGGATCGACAAAATTTTCAAAGTGAAAAAAAGTATCAGCAGTGAATCTGCTTCCAACAAAATTTTCAAGACTGTACTGAGGTGATTTCTTTGTCTACTAAAACCAGGTCATCTTTATATTTTCTAAAGTATTTTTATTGTATTGGAGTGCTATCCAGTAAGCAGTTTTTTTTTTCTCATACTTTTATGTGATTCTAATGTGATGGCTGACATTCCATATAAACTTATTACAGTACAAATGTTGTGGCGGATGCCATCCCAGCAGACATGTTGGCTGAAGTAAAGGAAAGGAGGCAAGAGCTGATAGAGTGCGTGGCCAACGCAGACGATCATTTAGGGGAGATCTTTTTGGAGGAGAGGACACCTACCATTCTGGAAATAAAGGTAACCAGGAAACTTCCGAAAGAAGCATGTTCATATGTGTTGAATGAATGAATTAATGTGTGACTGGGATAAAATTTTTGAGTTGATGGACACTATGAATAGAAGGAAGCTTGGAGAGGTAAGCTGAGAAGTTGCACACACACAGACGGGTAAAAAGGTTGAGTTTAAATTAAATTATTATTAATTTAATTGAATTATTTTGATGGATTGACTGATGGTCTAAAGTACAGTTCATCAACTTGATTTTTTTTTTTAATTTTGAGAGTGGTACAGGTGTAATTATGTATTTAACAATTTGATTGTTTGTTGATGGATTTGTTGGACAAAAGTTTTATTGTTTACCTCTATTTTCTTCAAGTTTGGTTACTGAGAACTTGGGAAGGGTTGGTTGGTTGATCAAGTGTTTTATAGACCAGCAGGGGCGGATCCAGAGCTATTTACTGACAGTCTTCCAAAATTTCTTTGTTGGTCCATCCTCCAATTTTGACCGTCTTCCAACAGAAAAAATTAGATACCCATCAAATGTTTACTTGAAAATCTGACCGTCTTCTGGAAGACCCAAAAGACGGCCTAAATCTGCCGCTGACCAAAGCACAATTGATCAACTTGATTTTTTTTCAAACTCAGTGAGTAAAAAGGGAATACAGAAACAGATGTAGAACAATTTTAAGTACGGTCCTCTTCCATTCAGGCGGCCATAAGAAGAGCAGTGATAAGTCAACAGTTTAATCCGGTCTTCTGTGGATCAGCACTGAAAAATAAAGGCGTCCAACCTCTTCTGGACGGGGTGGTTGATTACTTGCCAAATCCTACAGAAGTTGAAAACTTTGGGATGGTGGAAAACAAAGACCCTTCTGGGAAAAAGTAAGTAGCATATTGAGGTCCAAAGTGAAATTTTGTTATCAGGTTTTGAAAGCATTAATAACATTGAATTTTATTGAAATTGAATTTTAATACTTTGCAAGTTTATGAGAAAAAAAATTAGTCCACATTGACTCGAGAATCAAGAAAGACTAGTAGTCCCACAAGTGAAATACTTTGTGCCCATTTCACAACTAGAAAGACATTGGCAATGTTTCATACCAACACATTATTTATTCATTATTAGACTTTAATAATTATGGATTATGGATTTGTCTTTACTAGAAAATAGACTGAAGTCAGGGCTTGACACTAACTTTTTTCCGTACTGGCCCGAGATATTGGTAAATATTGCAAGGATGATTTGACACATGACCTTTTACTTGCTCTTTGGGCCAGTGACCACATCGATTCAATGGCCCTAGGTTGGTTTTCATTGGCCCAGGGCCAGTGGGCCACCCTTAATGTCAAGTCCTGCAAAGAAGTAACAATTAACACCAATTTTCAGGCTAAAGTGATTTTGTGTAAATAGCACCAAGTTGAGACGGTTCCATCTGAAGAGAAACCGGACCATTTGTTCCTTAGAAAAAATTAGTTTTTCATCATCTCTTTTCTGTGGAGACTTGTTTGCTAACTGTGAAGCATGGTGCTTTGAGGTTTTTATTGTGCCCAGCTAACATAGGCCAGGGTGTTTTTACGGGAATTGCCCTCATATGGTGACAAGGTAGTCATTAAGACGGCTCTAGGAGGAAGATTTGAAATGTCACATCTCGTGGCAAAAAAAAAAAAAAAATCAGTTACTCAGTTCTGAACTGATTGTGTACTTTTTTATTATGACTTTTTTTTTCAGGACCACAGTGGAGAAAGTAAAACTGGATCCTACCAGGACCCAAAAAAATCCTCTCTTGGCGCTGGCATTTAAATTGGAGGTGAGCAGACTTCAGCTTTTTCCACAGAAATGTGGAATTTTGCATTCTTTAATTCAATGCTGATTGTTCCTGAGATTCATCAAGATCTGCAATTAAATCTGGTTTCGAGTTTTTTTTTTAACCAAGGCTCATGACTGGGTGAGACAGCATGCAGAAATTAGTATAAGCTCCGTTGAGTTGGTTAAGGACGTCATTTGCGTTGAGTGTTGGTGCAATTCGCAAGCTACCATGTTGCCATGCAGTAAATACTACATCGATCTCCTCTAATTCTTGATAGAGTTGACAACCAGTGAACTGCGTGGTTAAAATGTTGCAGTGATGTGTATTCATGTTGAAGAGTGCCAGAAGTTTGTTCATATGTTAACCAGTTACAGTTACGAAACTCAAATTAAGTCCCATTGTTGTTACCCAATACCATGGACGTTCACATATATATATAAAGCATAGAAACAGTTTGAATAGCGTGTACCCACAGACAGAGAAAATGTCAATGAAATATTGTTTTCTATTATTGTTTGGATCCAATTTAAAGATATCTCATTTTACAACAAGCACATGATTTGATACTAAAGCAAAGATGTCGTAGAATTTTGGTCAGCTGACTGTCATGTGATGACTGAATGGCACGCCACGCCTCATAGGTAGAAACCATGTGAAATTGTGCAGCCTCTAATGAAACTTTTTTTTCACCATTTTTTTACAATTCTGATTTTTTTTTTTTTTTTTTTTTTTTTTTTTGTTCCAGGCTGGTAAGTTTGGGCAGCTGACCTACATGAGAGTCTATCAAGGATGTATCGCAAAAGGAAGTACGCTCTTAAACACGAGAACTGGGAAGAAAATCCGTGTGGCCCGACTGGTGCGAGTCCACTGCGACACAATGGAGGTTAGTTTTTTTATGATAATTAATTCCTCATACAACAACTAAAATAAGTATTTCAGTGTTTAACAGGACACCTTCATCAGGGAAAGAGGTTACAGGTGTTACAATATAGTTTCCTTTTTATACATTGAAAGGATGTTTTGGCTTTTTAAGCAGCAGGGCTAAACAGGTCTGTAGGTTTAAAGTTTTGCAAACCGAGGCTGTTTCTATCACAATTTCTGTGAGGTTTGGTATAATAGCCACTTATAGATTTTTCATGTCTGCTCAGGGCATGTTCCCAGTGATACTTGTTCCCATGTAGATTGATCCAACTCTGCTTGGGACACTCCCGAAATGCAATCAGATGAGCTGAATGACACCCCTCCAGGAGCTGCAAGGGGGCGATTAATTTTCATGTGCATTTGCACTCCAAACTGCCAGAAGCTGAGCACACACACAAGTTTATAGTCCCTTAGGGACCATTCCCACAGATATTTGGATCAATCTAACTCCCTGGGGAGTCTCACTATATTGCTGTCAACTTGGCTGGCTTAAATGTCTGTCACGCCTAGTAAAGCTGTTAGGGGGTAATTATCTTTACCCTAGCCGATTCGGTAGGCGTGACAGACATTTAAGCCGGTCAGTTGATAACAATTTAGTAAGACTCCCCAGGAAGTTAGATCGATACAGATGGATCGATCCATGTATGGGAACCCAGTCTTACTCCTGGAGGCGTGTCATTCAGTTAATGTGATCGTATTCAGTGCAAGCCCCTCCCCGGGAAAAATCAATATATGTAGAACAATATTTTTATTGGAAACACACCCCTTAATTTTTTTTAAATTCTTTTTGGTGTGATTTCAGACATTAACAGAGGCATACGCTGGAGATATCTGTGCTTTGTTTGGCGTGGAATGTGCCAGTGGTGACAGCTTCGTAGACTCTGCCAAATTTGCTAATATGTCCATGGTAAGTGACAATGATCTTTGACAACATCATAATTTGTAGACACCTACCTTTGCAAATATGTCCATGGTAAATGATGATGATATTTGACAATGTCAAGGAAATAAGTTATTTATATACCTGTGATAGGTAACGGTAATTGTAGATACTACCAAATTTGCAACAGTGCCTACGGTTATTGACAATGATCTTTGACAACACCATGTTTTGTTGACACAAACACCTTTAAGTTAGTTATATACCTGTTTTAAGTGACAGTGATTGTAGACAACACCATTTTAATTTGTGGATGCAAATTAGTGAGTTTACCTGACCATAGAAAGTGACAAGGATCATAGATGTTCCCATTTATGTTTACTAAATTAATTGTTGATTTACTTCTGGTAAACCTGTGTTTAGGTCATGTAGTATAAAGCAGTGTTGATTCAAAAGTAAATTGGCATCAATACAATGGCATCATGTCAGAACTTGCGTGAATATTTATTAGTATATGATACTGTTAATCAGTGAGGAGCTTTCCCGACTATTGGCGGATCCCCAGCTTTTTGGGAGCCAAAAATATCACTCCTGAGTTTGATGCAGAGGGCCCCCCTGGCCCCCACGCCATATGTTCAGACTTTTTGACTAAACGGCCATCTCAATCCTGTGTTAATACAGTGTCTATTATTGGTTATTTTCTAGGAACCTATTCATGTGCCTGAGCCTGTGATAGCTATGTCAATCAAATGCGAAGACTCCAAAAAGGCAGACAATTTCTCGAAAGGAATAGCGCGTTTTACGCGGGAGGACCCTACCTTCAGAATGGAATACGATGAAGAACACAGGGAAAGCATTGTGATGGGAATGGGAGAGCTGCATTTGGATATATACTCTCAGGTTTGTATGGGTGCATGCATGCATATGTGCATGCATGTTTTTTTTTCCTGTGTGTGTGTGAGAGAGAGAGTGAATGCCTTTTTTTTCAAATCTGTTATCAATTACTGTGACATAAGAGACTATTTTGCTAAAACAAAATTTCTAACTATAAATGTATTTTGTGCATGTGTATATTTGTGTGAGAGAGAGCAAATTCTTATTTGAAGACAATGTGTGAACTAACATGCCCATGTAGCTCTAGAATTTGGCATGTTTACAAGGGCTTTTTTGTTGGTAGCAATGTCAAAAGTAAAAATGATTGAATCCGATGAAAAAGTCATATGTTTCTTAAAGACAGTCTCAGTGGGTNTTTTAAGTTTTGCAAACCGAGGCTGTTTCTATCACAATTTCTGTGAGGTTTGGTATAATAGCCACTTATAGATTTTTTCATGTCTGCTCTAGGGCATTTTCCCAGTGATACTTGTTCCCATGTAGATTGGTCCAACTCTGCCTGGGACACTCTGAAATGCAATCAGATGAACTGAATGACACCCCTCCAGGAGCTGCAAGGGGGCGATTAATTTTCACGTGCATTTGCACTCCAAACTGCCAGAAGCTGAGCAGACACACAAGTTTATCGTCCCTTAGGGACCATTCCCACAGATATTTGGATCAATCTAACTCCCTGGGGAGTCTCACTATATTGCTGTCAATTTGGCTGGCTTAAATGTCTGTCACGCCTAGTAAAGCTGTTAGGGGGTAATTATCTTTACCCTAGCTGATTCGGTAGGCGTGACAGACATTTAAGCCGGTTAGTTGATAACAATTTAGTGAGACTCCCCAGGGAGGTAGATCGATACAGATAGATCGATCTATGTATGGGAACCCAGTCTTACTCCTGGAGGCGTGTCATTCAGTTAATGTGATCGTATTCAGCGCAAGCCCCTCCCCGGGAAAAATCGATATATGAAGAACAATATTTTTATTGGAAACACACCCCTTAATTTTTTTAAAATTCTTTTTGGTGTGATTTCAGACATTAACAGAGGCATACGCTGGAGATATCTGTGCTTTGTTTGGCGTGGAATGTGCCAGTGGTGACAGCTTCGTAGACTCTGCCAAATTTGCTAATATGTCCATGGTAAGTGACAATGATCTTTGACAACATCATAATTTGTAGACACCTACCTTTGCAAATATATCCATGGTAAATGATGATGATATTTGACAATGTCAAGGAAATAAGTTATTTATATACCTGTGATAGGTAACGGTAATTGTAGATACTACCAAATTTGCAACAGTGCCTACGGTTATTGACAATGATCTTTGACAACACCATGTTTTGTTGACACAAACACCTTTAAGTTAGTTATATACCTGTTTTAAGTGACAGTGATTGTAGACAACACCATTTTAATTTGTGGATGCAAATTAGTGAGTTTACCTGACCATAGAAAGTGACAAGGATCATAGATGTTCCCGTTTATGTTTACTAAATTAATTGTTGATTTACTTCTGGTAAACCTGTGTTTAGGTCATGAAATATGAAGCAGTGTTGATTCAAAAGTAAATTGGCATCAATACAATGGCATCATGTCAGAACTTGTGTGAATATTTATTAGTATATGATACTGTTAATCAGTGAGGAGCTTTCCCGACTACTGGCGGATCCCCAGCTTTTTGGGAGCCAAAAATATCACTCCTGAGTTTGATGCAGAGGGCCCCCCCTGGCCCCCACGCCATATGTTCAGACTTTTTGACTAAACGGCCATCTCAATCCTGTGTTAATACAGTGTCTATTATTGGTTATTTTCTAGGAACCTATTCATGTGCCTGAGCCTGTGATAGCTATGTCAATCAAATGCGAAGACTCCAAAAAGGCAGACAATTTCTCGAAAGGAATAGCGCGTTTTACGCGGGAGGACCCTACCTTCAGAATGGAATACGATGAGGAACACAGGGAAAGCATTGTAATGGGGATGGGAGAGCTGCATTTGGATATATACTCTCAGGTTTGTATGGGTGCATGCATGCGTATGTGCATGCATGTTTTTTTTTCCTGTGTGTGAGAGAGAGAGAGAGAGTGAATGCCCTTTTTTTCAAATCTGTTATCAATTACTGTGACATAAGTGACTATTTTGCTAAAACAAAAATTCTAACTATAAATGTATTTTGTGCATGTGTGTATTTGTGTGAGAGAGAGCAAATTCTTATTCGAAGGCAATGTGTGAACTAACATGCTCATGTTAACATGCTAGAATTTGGCATGTTTACAAGGGCTTTTTTGTTGGTAGCAATGTCAAAAGTAAAAATGATTGAATCCGGTGAAAAAGTCATATGTTTCTTAAAAGACCAAACATATTAAAAAACCTCAGAGGCATGATGTTTTTCAGTATTTTTCTACGACCATTTCAAAAGATAGAAAAGACATAGAAGAACTATTGTCATGGTGTGATTAAATTTGTGATTTCAGAGACTGGAAAAAGAGTATGGCGCTAAGGTGATATTGGGAAAACCACGAGTTGCTTTCAGAGAGACATTACAAGCACCATGCGAGTAAGCCTTTATTTAGTATAGTGGAGAAGTAAAATGGGATAAAAATGAAAGTAAATAAAAATTGAAAAAAAAAATAAAATAATAAATGATAGTTAACAAGCTTAAGGCATCAGTTTTCCAATCATCAGTAAGGGTTTTTTTATAAGCTTTTCAGGTTTGCAAGAAACTATTTATTACAGCTTGTTATTTATGGCTTCATATTGAGAGTTTAACATTGTTTTGCTTCAGTGAAACTGGATTTTCGGTGTGTAAAGATTGGAAAAAGTAAATTGTTTCTAATAAGACTCCCATGTTTTTTGTTTTTTTTTAACTCGGAGGCATGCATTTCAATCCTTCACACAACGAAAAACATGCCTCAGGTAAAAATCACCTTTTGTTTTTTTAAGCAGCCATTTTTTAACCATCTTTGCCAAGGAGATGATGAAAAACTTATCATAAACATAATATTGTATATATATAATAATATTGCCTTTGTCAATATCTGTATATATATATTTGTCATCTTAAGCTGCCTTTTTACAAGTGTCCACCTTGAATTCCAGATCATGATAAGATCATTCTTAATATTTTAAAGATTATTTATTTATTCATTAATATTTTTTCTATAAATTTAGTTTTGTTTTGTTTTTTTCTCCAGGTTTGACTATCTCCACAAACGTCAGAGTGGTGGACAGGGGCAGTATGGAAGAGTTATTGGAATTGTTGAAGTAAGTCCACCCACCTGCCAAAAATGTATTTTCCTTATAGCCAGAGACCTAGTTAACAATATTTTCAACCAAGCAAAAATTTTGAGATTAACCAATTTGGACAATGAGTTAAAAAATTGGTGGGAAAAAAAGTTAATTGTTTCTATATAAAAGTTAATTGTTTATATGTTTTGACCCTTCATCAGAAAGTGTTGATCACATGACTGAATTCTGGAAACAGCTCACTTTCCCACTATCTTAATACAAAAGGCAACAAAATTGCATGCGTAGAAAAGAAAAAAATGCTTTGGCAAATCTCTTATTATAAAAGAATACAGATATGATATTTAAATATGTGTAAAGAAGGTATTTCACCTTAAACTGTATTTGAAAGTAAAACAACCAATGCAAGACACTTTACAAAATATTCAGATAATTTTTGATTTCCATCTTTTAGCCTCTCCCTATAGAACAGAATACAGAGCTGGAATTTTACGACGAGTGCACAGGAACCAATGTGCCCAAAGGATACATGCCAGGCATTGAGAAGGTTAACAATAATAATAATAATAATAATAATAATAAAACCAGAAGTAGTAATAATTTATTCCGACTTCCAATTTTTTTAGCAGAATTCTGACTTAGGCAGCCTTCTTACCTGTGGTGTCCATGCCAACAAACCATAACTGCCTACCTTTTTCTCACAATATGTATCGAGTGGCTCCAAAATTTTTTTTAATAAAAAAAAAAAAAAGAAAAAAAATCAGTTAATTTTAAAGTTAAATAACTTAAGCCATTATTGAAGATATTGCAATGAAAATTGGGATATTTTAGGAAAATGAGGTTTTTAATAAATGCTAAAATTTTCATGACTCTACCTTTTCTTAGTTTTGCTACAGCAAAAAAGATTATAATTTTTTTTAACTTAAAAAGTTCAAAAATGCCATGCTGGCCTATATGACAGGTGCCTGTGTCTTGCAGTTTTGACAGCTTTCAGTGTATTTTTGATTTTATGATAATACCAAAACTGTTTCACTTTAACACTTGAAAAATTCACAGGTGAGCAATAATAATCTATCAGTAATAATGTATAAAGCAAAACTCACATTTTGCGTTAACTGTTGTAACGTATTGAAATTACTAACTTTTTGGAGCCACCTGATATAGTATACTAGTAGTAATAATAAGAGTAACAAAATTAGAGACTTCACATTTTTTATGGCATGACATTGCAGACTTTACAAACCCACTACTTATCCAATGTCTTTATAAAAGAGACAGTGAAATATGCATTTGAAATTGTTGGTTTGATTTTAATTCAGCTCTGTCTTTCCAGGGTTTTAGGACTACAGCAACAAAGGGTCCTTTGATAGGAAAACCAGTTTCAGGAATATCATTTACAATAAGAGATGGTATGATATCTTTGGTGTTGATAGAATTATTGATGAAGAGCAGTTGATTGCTGCTTTTTTTAGTGTAAAAAGTCAGTAGGGATGGGAGAAGGAGGTTAGTGGTTGAGATGAAAGGTCCCTAAACCCGAATAACTTTTCCCTTGTTGACCAGGGACAACAGACTGCCTCTTTAAATTGAATATAGAAAATTATGTTAGTTGAATGGGAGCTTTGCAAACTTTGAATCAAATTATTCTAGATGTAGAGCAAGCACTAAACCTTTATAAAGAGGAAATCAGATTTTCCAGATAAGGGGAGACTTTTCTCACTGATCAATTTACAAAATATTAAATCATGTTGAATTTGAGTTTTCCATCTTTTGAGTCACACTCCTAATGGAGACTGATGTTTTTCACTCATAAGAGTAAAAAATAGAAATTAATAACTGAAAGAAAAGCATTTACAGATTTAATATTGTTTTGTGACGGACATGATTAAGAGAAAAATTTTAAAATTGGCTGGAACTTTTATTTGTTGTGCATTAATGTCTAAAGCGAGTTGTATGTCACTCCTCAGTTTAAAATAAAGACCTGAATTCTTTCCAGGGGCCAGCCACAGTGTGGACTCCAGTGAGTATTCCTTCTTCTGTGCCGCTGAGGGAGCAATGAAGCAAGGTAGGGTTTATCAAGATGGCATTGAAAATGGGATTCCCTTGTGAAGTAGCCCCCCCCCCCCCCCCCCCAAGCCTCAGGGCTTGAGAGAGAATTGCTCTCCCCTTTTTGCCCTCCCAGCAACTCGCCCCCCTCCAAAAGCGTTAATGAAAACAAAGACTTAACGAGACAAAAACCAGCAAATTTTCACTCCCTAGGAACTAAATTTACATATTTAACAAGCAAAGGATCGGGGGCATTTTTTTTTTTAAATTTCAATTCTAGCCTGTCACCCCTTCCCCTTACCTACCCTGTACCAGAAGTGTTTAATATATTTTTGTAATTTGGACCCAGACACATTTTAGTTGTGTTACCATTAATAATTTTCATTTCCAAACTGAAAACTATCCTCAGAATTAGCATCTTTCAACTCTTGGCTTCCATTGAATCGCTATAGTTATTCATATTCAGTTGAATTTGAATTTTAGTCATATTCTAGTTGGCAGGACTGAAAGTTTTATCTTACTACTGCTTGTCTTTTTACAACTAAATTTGTTTGCCACTTTAATTTATTTCCAGTGTATGAGAATGGGCAGTGGCAAATTTTAGAGCCTGTCATGACTGTTGAAGTGATGGGGCCTATGGAAAATCACGGGACCATGTTGCACACGTTACAGACTAGGTCCGCCATTATAACAGGAACAGACCAAGTTGCAGGCTACAGTATTATTTATGCTGAGGTAAAACCTGTGGATTTTATCAATGAAATTAAGCAACCAATCAATTTTTGTTTTACAAAGGCTGTGGCCAGGGCTTTAACCAGGAGACTGAATGCATTATGGGCCATAGCAGAGACTTAACTGCTAAGGGCCATTCCCATTGAAACTATTGTTCTAGACACGTCTCCTCGAGTAGCTAGTGGGTGATCAACTGTCTTGTGCAGTCGGCTTCTGGAAGAATGATGTGATTTTTTTCTTCAGTCAACAGCTAATATTGAGATTTTAGTTTTTGCCTCCAATATTTCAATGTCTATTAGGACATCTTCTTCGGGGAATGAGGCTATCCAGGTGAATATTATTAAATTATTAGCTGTTGACTGAAGAAAAAAATCACGTCATTCTTATAACTTAACACAGCTGATGAAATTCTTCTCTGGCTTCGGGAATTTTTTTCACTTTGTTATGAGTGCTACTGACTGCACACACAGGCTAACTTGAGTAGACATGATAAAGTTAATATGACTGCATTCAGCAAGAGTCCCCACAAAGCTGGACCGATCTACGTAGAACCATATTTTCCTTGGGAAGACAATAATATTCTCATGGGTTATTTTCACCTCAGAGAATTTGATTCATTGTCTTAAGTGGAGAAAAAGTCTTTTAAAATATTTGTGATGTTCCTCTTAAGTGGCTAAATTTTGTAGGTTTTGTTTGCCCTAGAAAGGATTTTTGCCTTAATATGTGGTATTTCGCTTCAAGACTTTTTACTGAATATGTTTTTTTAATATCATTTCAGGCGCCTCTTAATGAAATGTTTGGATATTCAATAGAACTGCGCAAAGTTACGCGAGGAGAAGGAGAGTTTTCCATGGAGTTTGCTCGCTACTGCGTTGCCACACACAAAACACAAACTGAGCTTATACGAGAATATCAGAAAGAAAAAGGAATTGACTTAAAGACAAAGAAAAGACAATAAAATAAAATTATTTTAATTTTTAAATTATTTATGACTGTGTATACTGTTTGAGAAAAATGAAAAAAAAAGGAGCTAAAAGTAGAACAGTTCAGGAATGGTGCAAAGATGTGTTTGTGTGCATTGAATGTTAAGGTGAATATGCTGGAAAACTGATCAAAGACTGCTTTATTCAAATAATTTATGTTTAAAATCACGCAACAGCTTTTCTATTGACATTCTATCCCAGTGTCTATTGTGTTTTCAAGAAAGCATTGTAATATATGTACATTTACACCATCTTTGTGAGAAAAGAATCAAAGAATGACTTTTGTAATTATTGAAATTGATCCCCAGAGTTGAGTTTTAACAGATGGTATATATTTTTCTGTGAAGTTTGAGATAATGTGCTGAGTTGTCACCTAAAAATTTTATTTGTGAAAAAAAACTTTATTTCTATTTATTTATTTATTTGATTATCTCTAGATGTAATTTGTCTCTAAACTAGAGTAGCCAAGCAGCTACACAGTACTCCTTAGAATTCCTTTTTATGTACAGACACAGATGTGTCTGTACACATTGCCATCACCTGTGTCTGTCGTCGCCGATGCCGATGCCGGCGCCGTGCACTTTCCTTGTTAACTCGATAAGTGGAGGGCAGTTTTACTTTTTGGCTTTATATTNAAGTTACGTTGTATCAAAAAGTACATATTGGTGGTGAAAGCAAAATGTGCAGTACGGTAATGGATAATAAATTTTGAACCCCAGAAAAATAAAACATAAGGCTTGGCGAGACAGACAACTTGTGGTCAAAAATGACATTATTTCATCAAATTTGAACACCTGGAACTTCAGAGCACCTCCTATTTCAACAATTTTGACCAAAATGACCTTCAGAATTGACAGTAGCCTATTTTGTTATTTCCTGCTTTTTGTCTGTACATTTGACAGCTTTGCTGCCTTGTTTCTTTTTTCTTTCTTTTTCTTTTTTTTTCTTTGTTCACGGCTGGGTGTAATTTAAAGAAATGTCTGTAAGGTACAATTAGGTGTAAAAGAGATGTTTCAAATAAAAAAATTAAAAGTTTGACTTTCATCCCCGTGACTTTTTCCTGTGACTCAAAAAAAAACAAAACCTAAAGTGAGTGGAAAGTTAAGGAAGTACTTAAGGGTTTCACTATTGGGCTTGAACGCTAGTTGAATTATCTTAAGAACAAAAATGGCCCAATGTAGTTCTTAATAAATTCAGTATACTGATAGAAAGCATTTTGTTTATTGCAAAAAATAAAAAAGCTTAAACGGACGCAGTAATAAAATCAAATATCTAAACTAGAGTAGCCAAGCAGCTACACGAGTAGTTAGATCGAAAATGAAGTAAATACACGTAAAATAAAGAAACAACATTATTTAAGCTCATAAATTAAAATAATCCGTTTCAAATTGGTACCAGCGCTGGCGGCATTAACGCCTGCATAGCTCACATATTAGCATTGAATGAAGGCGCACAAATCATGAATCTATATCAAACAGAATGGCGCACCCTGACGAGTAAAAATAATAAAACATCAAGGCGTGACGCTTATGAATATCTTGAATATTAGCCAGACCTGTGCCTCAAAAAAAAAAAAAAAAAAAAAAAAAAGGCAGTAACAGAGCAGCGACAAAGGCATAACTGGCCACATTTCCTTCCATCAGTACAACTAGTCGATCCGGATGGAGTTCATGAGTTCATTCCATGCATTAATTCTTGCAGTACTCAACGCTTGGATTTCGTCACAGCAGAGAAAAGTACATAGAAACCAGAGGCAGATCTGTGGATATCTGTTGACAAATGTCAATCTGTCACCCTGGTAGGGGGCGCTGTGTACTGATGGCACGTCTGTCGTTCTGGCACCATTCCCAAAGTCGTCTAACGGACGTTAAGGACTCACCACACTTACGATAATGACTCGATCTTGTCAGTGGGAAAAAATTATCAAACTTTCTGATACAGATCATTTTAAAACCATAAATATTCCATTTTTCTATAGCAGTTGTGGTGCTTTTAAATAATGCATAGCACAGAACTATAAGGTGGTCTACTTTTCAATTTTGTTGCTACCACTCAAAAGGATTGCTCTTATTTTGAGAGATCAAGACTTGAAAATACAGTATCTGTAAAATTCACAATTTTCCCCCATTGAAAAGATCGATTCATTACCGTAGTTGTCAACAGAGATTATGGACTATCTACGAATGACCATATATATACAGTATCAGAAAATTTGTGGGTTTTGTGGTTAATAATATGTGCGTTAGTGCTAAAAGATCTTCGGGTAGTGTTTGTAAACGCCCAATCCGTTTATAAGGCTTGATTTTGTCGACCTTTAGCTAATGCAATCACATTTACAGTTTAATGCGCCTAACAGGCCCTGTGTAGAATATCAAAAAAAAAAAAAAAAAAAACACTAGTACGTTGGAAACTAAGAGGAGGCACGTTAGTCTGTTAATCTGATTGTATTCAGTGACACTCCCCGTGGAGTTCGCGTGCATGAGATAGGTCGATAAAATTTATTGTGAACAGGTCCTTTAAGATGGACACTGAAATATCGGAGTGCAAATAAACTTGCTTTAACTATTGATTGAACAAGGGTGTTGCTATGACCAAGTTGTGAAACAGGTGATGAAATTACTACATATATCATCGATTATAATTTGTATTGCAAACATTGAAATGACTGGATCAGAAATTTGATAAATTATACTTTCTTTGTGGATTTATTTTTTTTAATTATTATTATATGTAGGCAAAGTATTTGGCCATTGCAAGTTCCTTATACATTTTTAAAGAAGTAATAATAATAATAAAAACCGAAGCGTTTTTTTTTTAATCGAAGCATAAAAAAGAACAGTTCATGTTGAAATTAAAAGAAACAGAAACAGTGATTTATTTATTTTTATCTATAATTATTATTATTAATGTGTTTGTGTGCGCAGGGATGTGTGTGCGAGCTTGGGCGTGTGTGTGTTCGGGTAGGAGATGTCGGGCGAGGCAGGAAATCTCCCGTTTCGGCAATTCCAATTGTTTAGCGGAGACACCCGAACATCTACGCAAAGTAATCGCCGTGCACGGTGGAAGAGGACATTGCATTTTGCAAATTTCTCAAACGTTAAATTTTAGCTTAAATTTCGATTGTTCAAAAGATATTTGGCACAGCATCCGGACCAAAGCTGCTGAAGCGCTGACATTCAATCCATGCAGCGGTACTTTCAGTATATTTTGCTGGTTCTCGTAAAAGTAGATGTTTATTTTTTATTTTCTTTAACATGTTTTTTAATCAATATTCTGTGCATTTTTATTGAGCAAATTAACCCATTTGCATAACACCCAAGGAGTGTTACCGGAATTGTGGGTATCTGCACAATGTACATTACGGGGGCAATTTTTTTTAATTCAATGACGAGAAACAAAAATCCATTTGACGAAAACAGAAAAGTGAAAAATAAAGTCAAATATGTAGACCCTAGGCATATATATATATATTCGATTTTTTCTAAAAATCTGGTGGAAGAAAGAGAGAAATTTAGCTTTTTGCGAAAGATCTTTTTGCGTAAATCATGAAATATTTAAGTCATGCCTTATTATATTATGGTTGTTTCTTGTATTCGGTAACGAAGGTTTTAGTAACAAAAGTTTTAGAAATAACAACCCGTTTGGATAATATTAGCACATTATTAATGCTAACAAAATTATACTGCGCTAAAAGGGTATTAAGAGATGTGCATTTATTATACTGACACATTTTGTCCTCAGCCTCAAGTATATTTTTCACAGTGACTGATAAAGAAGGTTGTGCACATTACTATAGGCCTATTACAGAATGCAGTTTTGCCGTGAATCGCGTAAAACTTTTGACTGTGCAATGTCACCATTAGTCTACCTAATCCCTGATGTAACTGAATTGAGAATTTTATTTATGCCTTAGGGGGATAATAACTCTTCTTATGAGATCTATATTTCACAATAAAAACATGTGTGAACAACTCATAGTAATATAATATATTCTGTTTTACCACAAAAACGGCAGTAATAGCTATTATTCTGATATCTGAGCTTGTCTTTAGACCACGTGACCTCCATAGATGGCTATACTATCTGCAGCACTACTGCACAAAAAATAAATAAATAAATAAATAAATAAATAAAAACTTTTTAGAAAAAAAAAACAGGGACTAACTTTGAATGTAAAAATGGATTCATTAACCATTGGTAAGTATGGGAAAATTGTTGTTTACTCCAGGAAAATTCATTTTTTTGGTCAAAACGAAGAGTTACTATCCCTTTAAAAATTACAAAAACATCAAACAACTGAAAATAATGACCTGCGCCAAAGGAAGCAACGNTTTTTTTTTTTTTTTTTTTTTTTTTGAAAGCCAGTGACAATCTATTACTAATTTATTGCATTATTTAAAATTATTTAAGTAAACATTCTAGATATTTCCTGGGACGTTACACATTGACAAGTTGCAAATTTTGTGAGATGTTGTTGCTAGCGACAGCGACGAAGGTTTAAAATCCATTTATTTATTTATTTATTTATTTATTTATTTATTTATTTATTTGTATCAGAGCAGATAATTTTTCAGTTATTAATTTGCAAGACTGATGTAAGTTATTATAAGTTCCACTTGCTCAAACTCTTCTTCCGCTCGCTAAATTTTGTTTAAAATTTAAAAAAGATGTTAAAGGGACCTAAACTCAAGTCTATAGGCCTATATTGAGAATCAGTGTAGCCTATTCTTTTATTCTTATTCCTTCAAACAAACCCTTCGGTTAACATTTTTTTATCGGATTGCAGGCTGTTACCAAATGACTTTAACTGAAGGCAGTAAAGGACCTGAAGGGCCTTTTTTCTAGCTTTCCATGCACTGCTCGCTGACTGCTTCTCTTTATTTCGAATGGCCTGGATAGGAATGAACAGGTTAATCGCGAAGGGGCGTGGGTGACTGTCAGTCTGACCCCGTCTCTTAGCAACCGCGTGACCCAATATCCACACCTTTAGCAGCTTTAACATTAACAAATATGATCGTAAAATACAAATTTTAATTTCTGTTAATAGCTTTTTGTTTGTTTTTGTTATACTTTCTGCAGTCAAATTGCACCAGTTGTCAGTGTGGACAGAGTGAGCAAAAGTTTTTAAAAAACCACTTCTTGCGGAAGTGGATTGATGTCATTGCCGGTCCCCTTCTTGTTGAAGTGTAAGCCCCAAAGCCCACCGGCTTGAACTATTTTCTCGATCTAAAAAAAAATAGTCCAAAAAATTAGGCTATCTTTTATTAAAAAAGACACACAATTAAAAAATATGATTGTTTTTATAATAATATAATACTTTTTATAGTGTTTTGATTCTACAGTTAATCATGGCAATCAGAAATAAATGAAATGAAAAACAGATATTAGGCCTGCACATGAATATCAGTCAGACATCTTAACCGCATCACATATAGGTCTTTTACTTCCTGAAACGTGAAGTGCAGTCTGCAATTTACAGGAGAAACTATTGAAGTCTGACAAGATGTCTTGGGACGCTTATACCGACCAATTGAAACAACAGGGTTGCGAACATGCTGCGATTGTGGGATTAGACGGCAACCCGTGGACAACACAAAGTCCTAACTTTATTGTAAGTTTCATTGATTTATATAAACGACACGTTGAGGAAAGCCGGTTGAGGATGGGTCATTAGTTTTTGGTTTAGAGTGCCTTAGTATAAAAGGACCGTTTTGGCATTGTTAATCAGGTTATTAAATAAAGAACACGAAAGTTAAACGAGAGGTGTAAGTTAATTAGGGGCATTCTTAAGTTCATGTCTCAGTCATTCGTTGCAACTGACAGTGCGGAAGTGTTCGCACCCCACCCACTATATAACATAATGTGTTTGATTATTTCTAATCTATAAATGTACTTATTTGGGAACGAGTAAACTAATTTCGACGAATGAGAATACCAAATGGGTGTCTTGTGTCTGATTCTAGTTTTAGTAAACGGTGAGTGGATCGATTGCAATCCCTTTTGTAAAATCAGAGACATTGAATAAAGTCGACACAAGGGTGGGGGGAGAGAAATCGGAGACCAGTGGGTGAGATTTGGTGTTGTGTTGAGGTAGATCATAGATGGCATTGTTGACCAGAGATTGGTTTCATGTATGGATTGCAGGCCTATAGCAAGCAATTTCAAAAGGGGGGTTCTTTTTTCTGAAAAAGTGGACCTTTTCCCATAAAAACTTCATGTACCTAGATCAAATTTTACTCAGAGTGGACCATTTCCCAGCAATGTTCCAGTTCTTTGGAACCCCTGAACCCCCCCTCCCCCTGGCTACGGGCCTGGATTGTCCTCTTGNGTGGACCATTTCCCAGCAGTGTTCCAGTTCTTTGGAACCCCTGAACCCCCCCTCCCCCTGGCTACGGGCCTGGATTGTCCTCTTGGCCCAAGAAGTTAAATGCAGAGACATTTTGCCTTAAAGCCACTGCATGGGATTTTCCTGCCAAAATGAATTTTAATTTCAAGAAGATATCTCCACGCATTTGAAAACCTTTCTGCGTACTTTTTGTGCTGTACACAAGCAAGGCAGATAAGTAGGTCAATTTGTGACCAAAAATTAGAGGTGCAGTTTCCAGGTGGTTTCATGGCTGATCAAGTGATTAATTCCGATTGTCCGCTGGCATGTTAACTTAATTTGAGTTATATCAGAATATAGTAGAAGTGGTTAATCCACGCTCTAGTCAAATTTATCTTTAATAGCAAGCCACACACTACATCTCTGCCTCAACCTGCCTAGTATAGGGATAATCGGTACACATTTAAAGAATTTATTTTTTACATTTTTTCAGATAACCCAAGCGGAAGCTTTAAAAATAATTCAAGGTTATCAGGATCAAAGTAATTTTCAGGCATCTGGAATAATCTTAGGTGGTGAGAAATTTATGTTTCTTAGACTAGATGGTCAGTGTATCGCAGGGAAAAAAGGAAGTAGGCCTATAGCCATAAGGAAAATCAATACAGGTGAGTATCCCCATAGTTCTACTTTGTGGTAAACCTACCTCTTGCATTATGTTATAACCACCTAACTTCATATAAGATGACTTCAAAGACAAGTTTCTGCTCTGCTTGTCGGCATTTGAAACTAAAAATGTATGCTCTCTTCCTCCCAATCCTGCCTTATCTTGCTTGCTTTAATGTGAAGTTATAGGACCATGGGTCAAGGCTATCCTAAGAGAATCACTGGTCATCATTTGGAAAGCCACTGACCTCAAGACTCGCTATATTTCCAAAGAAGGCTGCATTAAGAAATACAGGGTGTTGTGGTGTCAACCCCCACCAAAAATGCTCTTTGGCTGTCTATTACTCCTATGTTTTGTTTTGATTTAGATATTTATTGACACACACTAAAGTTTAATTAGTTAAAATGAAGAAAAAAAAAAGAATAACAGAATAACGTGGCATAATAGAAATATGGTCTAAGAACAAGTTGCAGGCAGTCAGAAATGAATACAATCTTTGGAATGCCCTCCATTTCATGTACATCTGTAGCAATTCATCTATACCAGCAGCACCAACTGATTCCCTGATGGTGTCCTCGCCTCCACAAACAAGGTCCCTGCAAGGGGCCTAGCAATTCAACCTTGGAGCCAAGATTTTATCCATTTAATGGTGTTTGTGGAGGCGGGCAGCTCAGTTAGTCTGCTGATCATCAGTTCCGAATGCGCTCTTAGATCAACCCAACCCCACGGGACTCTTGCTGAATGCAATGTGATTAACAGAAAGACACTTCTCTCTTAGCAGCTAGGGTGTGATAAATTTTTTGTGTGGTTGGCTTTGGAAAGCTGATTTCACTTTGTTTTGAGTGCAACCAAAGGCTCTATTCCCATAGATTTTAGATCGATCTATCCCCGCGGGGAGTCTCACTAGATTACTTTCAGATAATCCGACTTAAATGTCCGTCCCGCCTAATACAAGCTGTAAGAGGGTAATTAACTTTCGTGTTCGCCCGGCTGACAGCTATTTAGCGTGAACCCCCAGGGAGTTAGGTCGATCTAAAGTAGGTCGATCTAATCTATGGAAATGGGGTGAAAGGCACATGGAATTGTAGTTAAGAATTTTAGTTTTAACTTGCTCTAGGTATGTTATTAACATAATCTGATTACATTCAGCAAGAGTCCCCGTGGAGTTGGATTAATCAACATACATATTGTTTCATTGGGAATGGACCCTTAGTCATACTTTATACACTGTTTTTTGCAGCCCTTGTGATCGGTGTTGGGTCTGAGTCGACTCAGCCAGGAACGCTCAGAACTGCTGTAGAAAAACAAGGAGACTATTTATCTTCACTAAATTACTGATGCAGGTAAGAGCTCGATCCAGAGGATTCATGTACTACTTTTGCATAATTGCACAGAAGATAAAGTGAGCTTATCATTTTCAAACTATATTAATCTTTTACTTTTAATATGTGTATAAAAAAGAAAGTGGTGTATTAGTAGTATCAGTATTCAGTTTTATCTTCCAGTGTGATGATGTAGAGAAATTAAACTTTGCTTTTGAGTTGATTTTCAGAATTGACTTCTTTTAACTTATGCAGGTGTTTTGTTGTTATTGCCAAACAGTTAAAAAGAATATGTAAAGAAAGTTTGTACATGTCATGTGAAGTAATTACTTGAAAAGTTTAAGCAATTTCAATATATTTCATTTTGTAAAGATTCTCATTATCTCAACTGGCAGAGATACACACAAAGTTGCTATAGAACTTGGATAAGAAACAATATATTGGACATCTTAATGTGACCTTGAATTTTACCTTTGATCGACTTTCCCTTGAAAATTGCACTTCTCATATTTACCAGCCCCTACTGCTCCACAATTAAAACCGATACATCCATAGCCACTGGTGCTTGAATGAGCTTAATCTTGCTGGTGGAGCAATATATAGGAGTTGGAATTGCTGCTCTGATCCTCTAGTTAATAATAATAATAATAATAATAATAATAATAATCACTTGTGGTACATTTTCAGGTGGAGTTCACCACTACCCTACACTGGGCTCTTTTTCTTTCTCTAGCACTTGTCACATTTCTCATTTTAGGTTGATTGTTTTGCCATCCAAGCTGTGACTAAACCTCGGATGTTTTGCCAGCTAGTTTGTAACATAAACAGTTCAAAAAAGGAACAAACGAAAAAGACAAAAAGAAAAAAAAAATCTGAACAAACCATGGAAGAAGCTTAAAAACTTTGCACAGTGACCAATCATGATTGCTGGAACTTATTGAGTGGTGTTGAGAGCAAAAAGAAAAAAAATTAGGGGGGAAACATGAGGGATTCCATTAAGTAAAACTGGGCCACTTTCTGATCACACATTGTACAAGGATGTATTATAATTGTTATCATTATACATGAAGGATGACATGATTACTGTTTGCAGAAAAAAAAGGTCAATTCGACTGGTGTTTACGTTGGTAAAGGATAGTTTACAAAAAAACATGCCTAAATATTTGAATCATTTTTAGTGTCCTTTAAGTTCTCATGAAAAATTGTTAAAGAAAAACCAACTGAATATATATTTTGTTTTTCTATTATTTTCTTCCCATTCCTTTGTGAGATACGCGATATTTAGGCATGGGTTACATATTTACCTGTATATGTATATATATATATATATTCATATGTATAACATCTCTGCATGATTACAGTTCAGTTGCAATCCCATTCTCTTTAACAGAAACTATGCATTAATCACAATTCTTATTATGGCCACCAAGCTTTGCTTTTTGCTTGTAAGATGAACTCCTGTTTTTAAACAGCCTTAAATCTAAATTTAACGTAATGTGGAGATTCTAAGGCCTTTTGAATCTTAAAAGTATTTTAAAGCGTTAACTTTTCCTCAAGGAACAGCCGATCAGCATTGTTGCAGGATATCCTTTGCCTTAGCAATTTTTTTCCACAAGAGTCCCAGTGCCAGGGGTGCCTCCAAAAAAAAAAAACCACCAGACCATGGGGAGTTTTAGAAGGGTGTTGTGTGTGTATTGTCAGCTGCAGCCACCGTCTCTTGTGGGGTTGTGAGGCGCTACAGTTACCAAGGAACTCCCAACTCTAGTGCCTGAAGAAAGAGAGTCCAGCATATGCGACTTCTACGTAGGGGCTGGGCACTGAGAGATTTGTGCATGAGAAAGTTGAATGTGTGCTGTTTGCTGTACTTCATGCTGACGGTTGTTTGTAAGCTGGACCCTTCAGTCATATTACTTCTGTAGAATAGTGTTCCCCCCCCCCCCCCATTTCCCCCTATATTAGAGAATTGGGCCTCTTTCTGTTTCAAGTTTCAGCAGGCTGATGTGGCCGTCTCTTCTCAAGTCTTCCTCACTGACATTCCACTAGTCCTCTGTATTAGGGAGCATTCCCATAAACCCATCATACTAGCTGGATCGATCCAACTCTGCCAGGATTCTCACTGTTGCATTCAGTGCAAGTGGCTTACATGTCTGGCAGGCCTAATCAAACTGCTAGGGGGTAATTAACGATAGTCAATTACCCCTTAGTTACGCAAAGGGGTGTGCCAGACAATTGAGCTGATTACACTGAAAACACTAGCAAGAAGCCCTGCAGAGTTAGATCGATCAAGCTTGTCTGATAGGTTTATGGGAACGCAGTCTTGGTGACCATCCAAATTCTCTTCTTGTTATTAAGGTAGCACGATGAAGAAGAGATTACCACTCTTATTAATTTTAACAGTGGTGGCATTGTTATACTGGTGTGTATTGGTGCACAGTGAGAACATCGGAGCAACGGAAGAAGACTAAACACGCCATGAAATTATTGTTATACTTGGTTGCAACTGTCTTCCGTTGCTGCAATGCAAATGCACGCAGGAATGTGATATCATTTTACTTGGTAGTCTTATTTAGGGGCCAGAAAAAGCACAAATTCCTTCGCCCTTCATTATGGATAAGCAAGGTTGTAAGTCTCACAAATGTAGAAATCCCTTATCTGTATATGATGGCGATCAGTGAGTATGAATTATTAATTTCAACCATCTTTTCAATGTATTCCTGTATATTGTAATAAGAAGTAAGACCAATGAAAACGACTATTTAGTTAATTGCTGAGACCTGTCTCTCTCTCTGTTTTTTTTTTTTTT